CTATGCTTTCTACATGTTTGCTGCTATCAACATTCTGCTTGCAGCATTTGTCTGGTTCTTCGTTCCTGAGACTAAGAAGGTCAGTCTCGAGGAGATGGACGCCATCTTTGGTGGCCAGAACCACGTTGTTGAGGGTGCTGCCATTGAGGAGAAAGACCCGGCAAGGCACCACAGCGTTGTCGTTGATAACGACGCTAAGGGTGCTTCGGAGAGAGTCGAGAGGGTCTAATCGGCCTTTAGTTACGTGTTCTTATTGTATAATTCGATCTGCTGCTTGTATATTCATATAACACATGGTACTGAGATAACGTACCAGGGTTGAATACCAAATTTTCAAACCAACACTACAGCAGTCATTCATCGTACGTTTCGTGACAGATGTGTCTCATACCCTCTAGCACAGCCATGGCTTAGCATAGCATATGTACTCGCGTAATACTCACTACACCTTCTCGCATCGAGCCTCTTCTCTTCTCCCCTACATGAAAATATCAATTCCATGACTTTCCGCATATTTCAAGACATCGAGCACGACTCAATGCGCAATTGAGATTGGTTCTTCGCCTCCAAATATGGCCCCTTGTCTTCTCTCCCAAAGTTTCGCATCGATACCATGCTCACGAACCCCTCTCATCGCACCTACAAACGCTCCTACAAACAAACCATCGCCACTCTCAACGCTCGCATAACTACCTAACCTTAGTAAATTTATCGAAAAGCCTCAAGTTCTGTCTTTTCTTCCTCTTCCAGTCACCAAAGTGAACCCCTGATCCACCCATGGCGATCTGCCGTTCAAAATCCGCGTACAATTAACCTGGCAAGGTTTCTCTGAAGGAATGCACCACCGCGCCGATGAAAGGCGTAATTACTCTGCGGTGAAAGACTATGGGCGAAGGGCGTGGCAGGAGCGACGTGTAGTAAATAGTCAGGCGAAGATGGGTAAGACAGATTACGTTTGGGCTGGAGGCAGGGTCATGGGTTTCGAGGAGCAGATAAGCAGAGAAGATTAAATGTAAGGCAGAAGATGGTTGGGTGCATTGAAGGTGTTGACGAAGAGGGATGGACGAAAGAGATAGTGTTACTTACTGTGAGGAGAAGCCAACGTTTGCTCCCTAGTACCAAGGCAATTAGATGCAACTCCATAATCCTATTTGTTCCTAAACTTGTCGAGTTAGTTTAATCCTTGGTTATGCTGGTTTTCTCAGACATGACGAGCGGCTAAGAGGATGATGATTACAAATGGTGACAGTCTGATTTCAACGTCTTCGCTTGTGTGGATGACTATGAGTATCTAGCGTCTATGACTTCAACTCGCATTATATGCTAAGCTCTTGTATATCTCTTCGGTACTGCAAAGGCCCCAAAAAAGGAAGAATACTTGTTACTAGATGATTTTTTGGCTACATATGTTCATCAATCAGCTTTATCGTAAACAGCCTGTGGCACCTCAACCACTCCCTATGAATATCACTGCAACGCACTTGTCGCTCATTGAATCATCCCACTAACCCGAGGCAACCTTCATTGCAGTAGTATCTCACTCCCACCGCACTAAATGCCTGTCGTTCTTTACCGAGGGTTTGTCTGGGTTGGTATCGACCTGTGAAGCGTCAGTAAATATGAATGAAACAAAGAGCTGATCTTTCCTGTACAAATTCACGATCTCCATCTTTCGCCACAACAAGGTGGCCTTCATAACCTAACATACGCTTTGTTCTAGCATCGGCTCGTGCAGACCACGCGCCGGCATCCTCGTTGACGTTGTCTAACACAAACGTAGTAATCATGGATGCGTTGAAAACGATATCATTCACCACTTCAATCCACAAACCCGTACAAAGAGTGGACTTGGCAAATATGACAGATCTCAAGGTCTCCTTGTGTCGGGTGATCACTTGACACAAATCTTGCTCCCTGGCGTAAATTCCCTCAAGTCTCAACGAGCGTAGCTTTGGCCATGTCGTTCCAAGACCAATGAATTCAACGATGGAGCGTTCTTCTGGAATCGATCCGCCGTCCCACATGGGCTCATGGAGATGTTTCCAGTCCAAGATTCCGAAGGAAAGATGTCGCAGATCCTGAGCAGCCCCAAGAACTTTGGCCAGATTTTCGAGCTGCCGGGTGGGTGGATCGATGTTGGTGGGCGGGTGTATATCCCTAGTTTGGGTGTTAAGGATAGACAAATTGAAGTTCAGTCTGACTAAACGTCGAAAGAGGTATTCCACAGCGAGCAGATCGTTTGATTCTGGAAACCTGAACATTTCTAAGGAGAGCTCTGTGCATGAATGTCCTTCGCGAGGTGCTTCTATCGTGAGCTGTCGAATCCCAGCATACTCTGACATGAAGACAGCGCCGATGAGTTGGCGGAAAGGATGATCCCAATTAGTAGTGCGGTTCTTGCCAAGTCTGCCAGGAAGAGCTCCTCTTGTGAGCAAGTCACGCAGTGTCTTGCGTTCTACAGGTATATCGTGTTGGTGCGGCGAGTACACAATCGATGAGATGTTCTGCATGTTTTCAAGGCCGCGTGCAATTGATTGCAGAAGAACGCCATCGACATTCATACTTTCTTGCTCCTCGTATAAATCATGGTATCGTTTCCATCTGGCGGTCTGTTAGTGCTACTTGCTAGAACGGGGAGCCCTACCCGAAAGGTATTCGTAGATATATCTATTGTAATTTTGATACAGAAATGATGCCATATACCTTGATGGTAGGCTTGGATTTTAGGGGTAGAGCTTAGTGAGAAAAGAAAAATGAGCTTCTTCGTACATCATCGCATTACATACCTGGTTCGCATTGCGTAGAAGGACGACGAGTTGAACTCGTCTGTCTTCTGCTCGGATCGTTGGTAACAGCGATGATCTTTTGCGAGCACCTCATCATAGAGTGTCCCATCGAAGATGATCTCTCTAACATAGCCTGAGTACACCGAATGTAACGAGACCTGCATTAGGATTATGAGTTTAGCTTGTATTCGCAAATTCCATGTGCCTGATACCGAAAAGTCCCCTGAAGATCTCTACTGTGCGTTGCGCTGACTTGGCAGCGACGTGACAGTTCGCAGACACCTTCAGGACATGAATCGTGTTACATGGATTCTCGTACACGAAGATCACTTACATTCTGAAAGGCGCCCAGCGCTTGGTATCTTGCACAAGCAACAATGCTGCGAAACAGCGCAGGCGTGGCGTTGTCCCGAAAGGCTCTGCTGACAGCTCTCGCAGCCTTGACGTCAGTAGCTGGGAGATAATCAAAGATTTCGATTTGCAGTTCGGCGGGTAGTCTATTAAAGAGACCCATCTTATGGGTAGTTGGATTCTGTATTGTTTAGCGGCTGCTAGGCCTCTTATACAATATCACAGCGCTAACCTTTGGCATGTTTGCAATGACAGAGACAAAGGTGTATCGATGTGCCTATATTGATATATTGGTGGCGGAGTTGGAAGAGCAAGGCTGGTGTTTGCTGCCAAGTGCAGTGCATGTGGGCAAACAAACCAGGCTCCAGTGAGGGAACCGGACTAGGGTCACCAATGAGGCGAGAGCGCATAACAACGATTACGCATGGAAAAGACTCGCGATTGGAAGTAGCAAACCATAACGTGGTAATCACAGCGAATTCAAAAAGGCGAAGTTCAAGATTTGAATGTTAGTCTTCTGAAATGAAATATACAAATGTCGTGTTTGGGCCACTAGTCACATACTATATTTTGGTTCTATGTCCGAACTTGTGTTCACTGCTTCCTCAACTTGCTGAGCGCGGCCATGACGCCTTCGCTCACATTCTCCTCTTCCAACTGCTTCCTTTTCACTGGCTTTGGAGCGGATGAGTTAGCCCCATTGCTGTCCGAGACATGACCTAGCTCTGCCTCGCGCAGTGCCTCTTCATCGTCTTTATCGATGTCCTCAGCGGGACGATGGTCCGGTCGTCGGTCTGCATCTGACCCCGAAGCTGCAAAAGGCGCGGTTCTTGCCATTTCCATGGCAAGAGGTCCAGCATCGTCCACTCTACGGTGTGCTGTGTCACCAGCATCCGCTGCTGTAGGCGTCTGAATTTCGTCTTCTGCCATGGAGATGTCGCGTGACATGTTCGCTCGGTTGCCATCCTGTCCGACAGTTCGCTTTGCTGCCTTCTTGACCCTGAAGGGTTCCCTGACGGCGTTGCACCATCGCTGAACCTTCTTGTCACCCCACCCTGCTATCAGACCAATTTCCTCCGGCCCGGCGTTGATTGCAGTACGGATGCTACCAAAGTTGGATACTAAGCCAACTGCATCCGTCTTGTTTATACTGCGTGGTACAGTGATGAACTCAACCATCTTCTCCGAATAGGTCCCTGCTTGCTGAGCGCGAATGCTGGTTGGCGCTGCATTTTCAAATGTCTTGAAGAGCTCTAGATAGCGGCCAGCTTCCTGTGCGCTCCAGCAAAGCATGACGGTGACGTTGTTGACTAATGACGTCTTAGACAACTCCCTCAGTGGATCTTCATGATTTTCAATGTCGACCATAGTAAGAAGGATGCGGAGACTGTACTGGCCCTTCAGGTCTCGGATACGGTTGTAGATGTATTCGGGGTGCAGACGGTGGTACTTGAGCGACAGGAAGAGAGCACATGTTGTGGCACCAACGACGTAATCGGCAGGAATGTCTGAATATTCCCATGCGACTGAACGCACATTGTTCAGGATGGGGTTGCCTTTCTGTCGCGGCGAGACTAGGATGGAGCTGGGACCAGATCGCGATGGCAGTGCTTGGGGTTTCGGCTGCTGGACCTTGGGCGCATTGCTCGGCGCGGGTGGATTCGATGCCTCGGAACGCGCAGGCTGCGCTGCATTTGCTGGGACGGCCGAAGCAGAGCCACCGGGGCGCGGCCTATTGCCATCCATGGTGGTCAAAGACGAGCGGTGCACGCATTGAAGCGCGGACGGCGGCTTTGTTGTTATTGTTGTGTTTGGCAGCGGCGATGAATGGTTGACACAGCCTAACAAGAAACGCGGTTTTAGATGGCCCCGGGGTGTCCCGTGAGCAGTCCAGACAGCGCTGAGCCCAAACCGCCGGTCAACCCCATCATCTCCTTCACATCTTCGCACCTCCAGCCGCCTCCAACCCACCTGCGCATCCCGCCACCACCACGTTCCCGCACATCTGCCGCACCCGAATCATCGCCAGCGCCGACGCCTGCCCTCTTCGAATGCGCACTATCGAGTAGAGCGCCCATCTTTCTGCCGCGGTCGACCCGCGCGGAGGACGCCAAGCGCTTCATTACGAGCCCTACTCTCACCACTCCTGCACGCCCCCCAGCACCCGCCTACGAGCTTTCCACTCCCTCTCCACCCCCGAAGACGCTCTCTATGTCGGATCACAGCGCAAAACGGCAACGTTTGGACTCGATAGGAAGATTCTCACCCGCCAGCCCGCCCTTTGACGTCGCTGCCAAGGCGAGCGGCCAGCCGACAAAGACGCCCATCCACCCTCGCACGCCCACCTCACCGCCCTACTCCTCGATGAATTCGCAATCTCATGGAGGTTTCGCCCCGACTAACTCGACGGCGTCGTCGGACCGCTCCCCGCAGTCCTCGCTGCCAATGTCTCACTCCCTCTCACAGTCGGCAACATCGGCATCGAACCAACATCCCTTTCCCACCCCGGCGAGCACTGCAGGCTTCATGTCCAGTGCAAACATCGATAGCGATGGCGATGCGACGATGGAAGAGAGCCTAGACGATGACACTACACGGTTGGCTGATCACAGGCTGTCCAACCACAACCGGCAAGGGGAATCACCATACACCGAAGACGGTCGACTACGAGCTGCCCAAGGCATCAGCGGCAGCCAATTGTTCAAACTCAACAACGACAAGTTGGAGACAGCGCGGCCGCACCCCTCGGAAAATTTCATTACACTATATAGGCTCACGCCACTCGCCAGTTCAGTAGCGCGCAATGACCCGGTAACAGGCGAGAAGATTAACAAGCTTCGCAAGTCCTACGAGGGTCAGATCAAGAAGATGCAGATTGCCGGCAAGCCAAAGGCCACCAAGATGGACGGTGTCTTCCGGAACCTGCTGCTAATGCCCGAAGAAATTTGGCAGTCACAACACGTGCAGAATAGAGAGCCTGAGAAGAAGGCATTGACACCAGACGGTACAGCATTGAGCTCAGACTTCAGCAGACTGCTCGACGACGCATTCGCAGGCACTGCACCAGGCACTCTCCCCAGCGCAGAAGCTGCCAAATACAAGGCCTATCTCGGTACAGACGATACAGCAAAGCCAAAACCACAAGACATACCACCACAGCGAGCAACTTCCTTCACATCGTCAGCACCAACACCAACCAGCCACATGAACAGAGGTGCAGTGAGACCGGAGCGCTCTAGCTCAAAGCGCGGCTACACCGACGCCGCATTTCAAGGCTACGGTGAGGGCTTCGGAGACGAGTACGCAGACTCAACCGGAGGCGAAGACACACCAGGGGGAAACATGGCGAACAAGAGACGAAAGCTCCAATTTGAACGAACATCACACTCAGTCGAAGTAGGCGGCGCACGACGATAGCGATGTCGGATTTTTCTTTCGCACATATCAACTTAGCAGCATCGGGGTTTCGGATCTCTCTCCACAATTCGGCGTTTACGGAAAATCCATCACGAAAGCGACGGCGACATTTGCTCGACTGAAAGGCTTCCCACCGACCTCCACACAACAAACTATTCTTATTGGCATAATGCGAGTGGCAGAAGCGATCGAGTGGAGCGATTGGAGGTATGACGACCATGACATTCTCCTACCTCTTACACATACATGAGGACACAGATTGGGGCGCCAGGAATGTTTTGGTTTGTGGTTTTGTGCGCGCGCGCGTTCTCTTGGTTTCTGAGCCTTTTTTTTTACTCACTGTCAACCATTTCAAAGTGTGCATATTTGGGCAGGCAGATCCCTCATGATACCCTCAGGATACCACGCAGCATATGTGGATACCTATATAAAACGAATCGAATCGTAAAGTCAAACCTGCTTCGTCTGCTGTGTGGTGATCCAGAGCAAGCCTAATATTTGACAACGGGACATGAGATGTTGCCACAATTTCTCATGAACACTGACGGTATTGATGATCCCACAAAGACGCTCATGTTTTCTGCGTGATACCTTAGAGATATCCGCCATGTTCCCCATGTACATCGTATAATGTGAAACACAGCGTATACTTTTAGGGTAGACTTTGCATCCAAGATAGATTTGCAGAAGCGAGCTTCTTGGTTCTGAGTTCATGAGACGTCGAACAGCGTGTATTCAGGTCACGGTATGCCCTAGTATATCAGTCCCAGGTGCATGGCAATATGTTGTATTCAACTATGCTTCAACTTCCATACCGTTGCATCGTGCCACGCCTTACACTTCGTCCACACTCTCTTTGAGCTCCGCGGCGAAGCAATCATATAATTCACCAACGATATCAGCGCTAACACTCCGAAGAAAACAGCCCATGGGTACTTCGGTCTAACGAAGTCCATGCTGAAAAGTGCTGTTGTGAAGAGTAGTGGGAAGGCGACGTACTGTGCTCATAGTGATTAGCTATTGGTGTAGTTATTGAGGTCGCTGTATCTATACAAGTGCAGGGGGCTGGTCTGACATGACTTACGACTGTCATCTTGGTAAGTATCTTTAGGTCATTACCCTGGTTCACTGCCGTCTCTGCTTGGAGGTTTCCTGTATAGGTTTGACTGAGGCTGGAGACAGTGTAGAGCTAAATGGTATTAGTTATTGGGTCAGTGTGCAGGCACTAAATGGTATACATTGAGGCACCCCTGGACTTACGCTATCGAGTTTGAACTTGAAGTGGTCTCGCCTGATGAGGAGTAATTTACGTAATCGATCAAGTTCTGCAATGTTTCGAACGATGATGTTGATGTATGTTGGCCAGGTTGATCTCTCAGGTAGATATGTAGTGAAGATCACGAGCTCAGTACGACTGAATGTATCCCAAGCGTCGGTTATACCGCTGATGCCGTCAATGAAAAGCTGTGCTGTTTCGATGACATCGCTTAGGTACATTTGGAGTCAGCAGGTAAGGACTTGAGACAACACGCGAACCTTCCATCTTCGACGTCTCTACCACTGGATATTCTGCTTCGAGAATGCCACAAGGGCGTCGCGTTCTTTGCTGCTGCCCTTTATCATGTGTGGTTAGTTTAGAGATGCGACTTATCTGAGATGCGGGCTGACTGGACTGCATTACAGCAGACGGATCGGATCTGTGTATCCCACCCAGATGATACATCGAACTGGAGCCAATCAGAACAAAAAACGAGAAAGCCAGTTGGTCTACACAAAGTTGCTATCATGGTATTCGAGAACGTGGTGGGACGGTGGTGTGGTATTGCGTAAGTCAATGTTCGTAGATGTCGGGTCGGAATCAAGCTGATCATTGCAGAGTGATTGTGGAGATGGACCGATAGCATTGTGGCAAAATACCTGTACTTGTTGCGCTCACGTAAGATGTAGTGGTTGCGTAGTGGAAGTAATGAAATAGGAGGATATCGATTATGAGTTCCCCGTCGCGAAAAGACTCTAGGTTTGCAGAAATGGCTAGCACATTCAGTACGTTTCAAATCCTTCGCATTAAAGTAAGCATCTTCAGACTTCATCATTCATTCTGTATCTCCCAAATATGCGTCTCCCCGACCAAAAATCCCCACAAACCCAAGCCTACATCCTATCCATCTCGCTATTCTGTCAGCAACAATATCTAATACCGCCTACTGCTACACAGCATGGCCACAGATTAGATCCACAATTTAGGCAAGTTAAGTCAAACTCGTCCAACTCAAACTCAAGTTCTACCCACTCCTTCAACGCCGTACACCCTTGGTTCTTAGGTTCATATCCCCCATACATTAATTGCGTTTCACAAAATGCGAACGCGACATTGGTAAACTTGGCCACCTCCAATGTCTCCTTGTGTTTAGTCAACATAGATTTGAGACATGCAGTTGACGTGTTAGGGTGATCCAACACCAGCGTACGCAGATGCGGAAAAGCGTTTGAAGGAAGCACGTCCTCGAGAGAAGGACCTTGCAGGCTGAGATGAGCATCCATGTCGACGTGTTCATCCCACTGCCCCGCTTCGAGCGTCAGTTCGAGCGTCTGCAGTTTACTCAGTGTACTAAGGAATGCCCGGAATGAAGCTATCTGCGCCGCTGTGCTGTGGAATGAATGGACTGTTGTGTACCCTGTGAAGATTGTCGTGCGCTCATCCTCTGGTATCTGATCTTCTATTTCCTTGTACTCCCTCAACCATGTTTCCTTCTCCTCGACGCTGAGAGCGAAGTTCAAGGGAAGTTTTAAAGATGTCAGGTCTTTGCACACAGGAACGAGGGAAGGCCAGATCTCCGAACGGAAAAGCGGATGCGGTCTACCTATGCTGGAGAGCTTGAACTCGGTAATCTGACATCCCACGGCATGCGCTGCTGTAAGGAGTGTATACATCTCGCATTCGCCCCGGATCATAGACGAAGAGTCTGAAGGATCAAGACATCTTTCGGTAGTGTCAGAGCTCTCCCAGATATCAATATCCAATGTTTTGAGATTGGGAAAGTGGCGGAGAATTAGGGTTAGGATACGCATGCCAATATCTTCATGATGTTCGCTTTCGTTCGCATCTCGGGGCAATATCTCTCTCACGGCTTCCCACTGTGTGTCTCCAAGATCGATTTGACCTTTCTTGTTTCCGAGGCGCAATCGATCGCTGTCCCATCCCAAGTGTGTCACATGGCGGTTTAGATGCTTCTGGCTTGCAATGTGTGCCAGGTCGTGGAGACTGGATACCACGGGCGAGACATTGATGCGCCTGAAGACGTGTGGTATTGCGGTTTGTGCGAATGAGTGGCCGACAAGGCGGTAGTTGAAGCGTTCTCGCGGTTCAAGATCTGAAATGATGAGGTCGTGGACTTCGTTGGGTAGATGCATTGTTGCAAACACAAGTATTTCTGTACAGCAAAGCAGTTTCTCGCGTGTGGCTGCTTCTTATAGAAACTCAGTGAGTCAACATCCAGGCAGCTGCAGCGGGCCTAACGTCACATGACTATATTCTAGACGACCAAGAAGTATTCGAGTATGTTGGCTGTTCTCTCAAGCTGCAACCGTAATAAGGATTGGTCGTGGTGTCAGAATAATCGGAATCTAGATCGTTGTTCCGGTAAGTAATTAAGCTTCTGCTTCGTCACTGATCCACAGTGTGCTACTACCATTTATGGAATACGCAGTCACATGCTCTTAAGGATTCCATGGGAGTCTAAGATGGAGCTCTTGGTTCTTACAGATCATAACGTACACAGCTCAATATGCCTCTATGACTGATTGTCGTCACCAGCAGGTCCTTTCTCCTTCTCCTCCATATCCATCCTTCGCCCTTCGACGGTGAAGTACAGACTCTTGCTCGCACCCTCCAAAGCACTAGTGAGACTTCCACCGATACCTTGCAGCATCTGCACAAGCTGTGCTCGGAGTCCGTCGCGACCTCCAGGAATGCTGCCAACCCATTTCGTGCCGTCCACATCGAAGACCTTGCCTTCTACTCTTGCACCCAAGAGCATCAACTTCTGAAGACCAGCCTGTACCGCTGGTTCGTAGTAGTCTGGACTCGCCTTCCGGCTTGGCGCAGGGAAGTCGGGCTTCGAAGGTGACAGGATGGATAGGACGGCCTTGAGGTACTGGGGAGCGACATCGGGGAAGGCGACAACAGCGAGAGGACCCGAGAGTAGAGGCTCTAGTTCCAACTTTAGCTTCCTGTTGTTTGCGATTTCGTGTGCCCGTCTGGAGAGACCGTGTGTAAAGCGCTCGTCCTCTGCGTCATTACTCGTCTGCGGTATCTGCGCGCTCGTGGGTGTGCGCGGGTCTGTGGGGTGTTGTGCATGGTCCAACATGGACTGCTCCGGGTTGAAGAACTCGACAACTCTCAATGCGCTTGCGAAGATGTTTGTCTGGATGACCTGCATCTTAACTTCATCTGCAAGCGTCTCTTGTCCATTCTTCGCCCTCTCCGCATCCAGCTTGCGTAGTGCAATGGCCAATTCCCTTCTTATGCTCATCCATTCTACCGCTTTGACGTTGTTGTGCTGGAATATCAAAATCAAAGGCGAGGACTTGAGGAGCGATTGATACTGCCGGTGCAGTTGCGTTTTGCGGACCTCCGGCGGCTTGTGAGAGGGCGGTTGGGTGGGCGGGTATCGTAGCACTGGGGGCGCGGCTTTGTGTGTCTGCTGAATGGGAGGTGCGGGGGTCGTCGCTGAGGCAGCTGCTACCGAGGCGTAGGTCGCGATTGCGGGTAGAGAGATGGGGTGGGTAGGGTGTGAAGCGCAGGCGCGGAGGGCACGCGGCCTGATACGTATCCTTGGAGGCATTCTGTATGACAGTTAGTACTCTTCCAGGAAAACCAGTCTCTATAGAGGAGCAGGAATGCTTACGTGAGATGTGGTCGCGAAGCAATTGAGAGACGGCTTCGCATCTCCAAATATTTCCATGCGCTTTGAGATTCGGCATGGTCTGTGCACGACTCTGAGAGGGCAGATCTCCCGTGCGCGGAAATCATCCACAACGCATATCACGTTTCAACTGTTTCGTTTCTGTCTAAACTTGACTGGGCTGTTTCAGTTCTCCGTCGTGACTCTGGCGAGACATCCATATAGTCGTGCGCGCATGGCGACTTCCATCTGTAGGGCTGCATGGCAACCGCGAATACAAAGAACACCATTTCAGAGCTTTCGACATGTTAGATATATAGCTGTAAGTCAGCTTACCTGAGAGTCCACTTTGGATTCAAGGTCTAACGATCAATGAGACCGACTCAAGAAATCGATTATCCAAATTCTGGGCACCAACCGGTGGTATATCACCACAAGACAGCGAGCAAGGTATAGACATTATACAGTACCAATCCGTCTTGGCTGACAATCTTCAGATGATTCTCACTCTCTCCTTGTTCGGGGTGGCTTTTTGCGCCAGGTAAATATATAGAATCTCTCCATTTCAACCACCACCCTAACTCATCACGTGCAGGCACATTCTGGAGTTTTCCACCTTCTGCCCCTAGGTCTACGCGTACAAGACAAGCTCGAAGCTCTGATCGACAAGCATATGAGCTCTATCGGCGCTTCAAAGCTCGCGCTTTCGTCAATAACCACAGAGGCATTATGGCGGCAAACTGGTCGCTACTCCGCCAACTCAGAACTCTTGCGCATCAAGGATAGGAGAGAATCCGGCTTCTTGCTATCGCCGACTCATGAAGAGGAGATCACAGCACTTGTAGCCAGTATGGTGCATTCTTATAAAGATTTGCCATTGAGATTGTACCAAACTGGACGGAAGTATCGCGACGAACGAAGACCAAGACAGGGCTTATTAAGGGCTAAGGAGTTCATGATGAAAGATCTCTACACTTTTGACTACTCAACAGAATCTGCGCTAAGGACCTATGAGGAAGTACGGAATGCCTACAACAATCTGTTCAACGAGCTCAGACTGCCTTACCTTGTTGCTGATGCCGATTCTGGCAACATGGGAGGCAGGCTAAGCCATGAATATCACTTCGTTTCACCCAAAGGTGAAGACAATGTGTGGTCTTGCAACTCATGCGATTACATTGCGAACGAAGAGCTTGCGGAGAAGAGCAGCCAAAACCCAACGTCAAATGACGAGAGCTGGCATGCGTTCACTGGTATTAGCGTCGACAAGAAGACAAAGATCAATGTATGGATCCCGCGTCCGTCCTCGACCGCGACAACAAAAGCGAATCAAGGGCATGAATGTGTCAATCTACATGCTGTCAAAAAAGCACTTCCAGAGAACATTGAGCTAGATACTGGCATAGAATCCTCATCACTCCCTTCTTTGCTCCAAAAGACCACAGACATCATTGACCTCTTCGATCCCTCCCTCACCTTCGACAAACACGATAAATCCCTTTCTAATCCTCAATCTTCCGCCCTGAACCTTACAACCATCGAGACTGGCGATCCGTGTCCTCGTTGTTCCAATGGAAAGCTCGACGTCCAAAAGGCTATCGAGGTAGGCCATACTTTCCACCTCGGCACCCGATACAGCAAGCCTCTTAACGCAGTAGTTGCGTTGCCAGACCAAAACCTTTCATCACCAATTCAAATGGGCTGTCACGGCATCGGCGTTTCGCGTATCATTGGAGCCGTGGCTTCGCTCCTCTCAGATGCCAAAGGTCTGAATTGGCCAAGGGCGATAGCGCCCTACGAAGCCATCGTTCTCACATCTCCACAAACCGAGGATAGGGATGCGACAGAGGTGTACGATGCGCTTTACGGTGAAGTTCGAAACGGAGATGTAGATCTTGTGTTGGATGATCGGTCAGGAAAGAGCGTAGGATGGAAACTGAAGGATGCCGATTTGATCGGATACCCGGTCGTCATTGTACTGGGTAGGAGTTGGAAAGACAGGAGGGAAGTTGAGGTACAGTGCCGAAGATTAAGGTTCAAAAAGGATGTTCGTCTAGATGATTTGAGACAGGAAGTTTTGGGGCTGCTGGAGCAGTTGTAGTCTACCTGTACAGCGGAGTCTAAGTATAGATTGACGGCGGATTGGAGCGCCGGTACATCAAGCAGGTATGCTCTACTTTATATGGAAAATTGAATGCAGGCCGTATCAAAGCTCCAGACTTGCTAGTTCAAGTGAAGTGAAGTAGACAGCAGTTTTGTAGTTTTTCCTGAATATGTAGCTAAAGGTCATACTGGTGCGCTTAAACTACAGCACTAGCTTGAAACATCATGTTTCATGCACTTGTGTCTATATCTTGTGAGATCTTACTGCAACAACTCTCTGCGTTCTTACGCAGACACACTTATATTTCCACGGCAGCTCAAATTTGTGCCTACTGTTATCAGCCGCGATGAGTGAGCCTTCCCGCACTCTCGTACCCATCCTCCAGGCAGTCGCAATCATTGCGCCAGCCGTATACACAGGTAATGCAACTTTGCCGGAATCTCTAAAGATAGGCTGAACATATACGTTCAGGCTTCACTTTCGCATACAGCCATGTCGTCATGCCGCCCCTCATCACGCATGCCCCGCCAAAACTCCTAGCCAAACAGTGGCTTCAAGCCTACCAGTTCGCACCCATCTTTGTCGCCCCCCTCATCTTGACAGGCACTTCGAGTACTGCTTTCCTCGCCTATATTTCCAAAAGCTCTTCTTGTTCGGCGACAGTACTGTATGTTGTCGCTGCACTGGCGAATGCTAGTATCATCCCGTATACGGCGCTGTACATGGAGCCTGGAGTGAACGGTGCAGGGAAGTGGAAAGTGCAGGAGATATTGAATGAAGAGGGAGTTGTGTTGAAGAGGTCTGGGCAGGGAACTGATACACATACGGCGAGTGAGGCGGCAAAGAAGTGGGCTGAGAAAGTGGATATGAAGACTATTGCTGAGACATGGGTGAGAACGAATGCGTGGCGATATATCATTACCGCAATCGCCACCCTAGCCAGTGCAACTGCCTCCGTTGTGAAAAGCTAGAATAGAGTATGTATGGGATCGATCTTTGATCCTGACCACCAACTTTGTTTCCATTAGATACAATATTTGCACCACACCTTCCCAGTGTTACCCTGTCTGCAACTCTCAACCGGTATCAACGCCTTAGCCTTCTTGTCCCAGCCACCCACACTTCCGGTAGATGCTCTTGGTAACATGCACATGCTCTCGATCATGTATATCCAAAGTTTCATGCACCTTGTTGGATGCCATGTTGACGCGACTCCCACTCCATCTAATTTCCTGGGTTCGAAGCTCCGAGAAGGCAACAGAGTGATTGTGCTGAAACCTTTTATCCCACCGTATCGCTAAAGCAACCATACTAGCATATTCGACGTTGCTGCCTATACACAGACGTGATATCAACTCGACCGTAAAGACAGCCCCTGTATGTCTTTCGGCAAGGGGTGACACAGCTGCCCTAGCCTTGAAGATGCTGCCTTTGCCAGCGGTCGTACTTGGTGAGGTAACAGTAGATGTACTGAAGAAGTGTTCATGCAGGTTCAGTATCTCGAGACTCGATGTTAGGATATATGTGTTACAGGCACGTTTTCAAACGCAAATGTACGACTGTGCATGTATTTCTCCCTCAGCTGATCGTACATTCAAACTTTACACATGTAACAATGCATCCGCATCGATGGAAATAATTAATATGCTCTTTGACTAAGAGCAGATAGAATCATGTGCCTTCGAATACTGGGGGTATATAGTGTAAGTTTTCTTCTAGGCCCTGGTCGTGGTGTAGCAGGCGTAGCGGGCGTAGCAGGCACCTCCGTTGCTGACTTATCTGATTCAAATTGAACGAATGGTCTGTAATTTATATCCGCCTCTCGAAGGTCCTCTTGTAACGAGTTCCTTGGTCCAGCGTCCTCTTTGTTCGTGGCTTCACGGGTTGTTGGAGTGCGCCTAGCCAACTGCTCTGCGAGAATTTGATAATACCGTGAAAGGTGTATATTGGCGACACGGTCGTAGGAGCGTTTGGTAGGCTTCCATGATGAATCAGCAGTCCTGTTCGCTTGCCATATGTCTCTGTGGGAGCTGAGGATATCTCGTTCTAATTGTTCGACAGCCTTAGTGCGCAATTTCATCTCTTTCCTTTCGTCTCGACTATTGACAGCTGAGGCGCTCTCAAAACCTGTGTTTTCTAGATGTCTTGAGAGCTTCTGAAGAGTCTTCTCACGGATTTTTCTAGCTGACCGAGCTCTTTTCTTGGGACTGGGCTGCTCCGGGGAACTCGAGAGTCTCTGACCTGACACTGGGACTGGAGGTGTGACTGTGCCGTTCCTTCCCGATTCAAGAGCAGGGGAAGCCGACTTGATCTTGGTAGAAAATTTCTCCTGTCCGATGATTTTCCATACAGGAACCGAGTTTTCCTGTATAGATCTTGCTTCCTCTACCGTCAAAGATTTCAAGTCTTTTATCGAGATGAACTTGACGTCTTGGTATAAACTCTCAACATCTATATCTATACCCCGCGTCTTCAACATGTGTTGTATCGCAACTGCACGCAGCCGGCATTTCATGTTAACTCTTCGGTGTTCAGGGTGTGAAACCCGCAACTCTTCCACGGGTAACCGTACCCTGTCTCTCGCTTTGTTGTTTTTTCGCACGCTTACTTCCATGTTTTGGTACAAATTCCAAACATCTATGTCTATACCCCGCATCTTTAACATCCCTTGCATCCCAAGTGCACGCAGCCAGAGAGTCTCTTTACGTCTTTGGTCTTCAGTGTTCAAACCCGCCAACTCTTCCATGGGCAATTTGTCCTGGCTCAAACCTGTACTCATAGCATCGATCTGTTGCGATTGATCTTTAGCTCTGCGGCCCGCCTCTTTCGCTGGCGACGATATCTGTGGATCCTGGTCGCCTGACTCACACGGAGTATCTACCTTTTCTTCGTCCTCTATGCGAGCTACTGATGAAAGCTGTCGTCCAGAGTCTGCTCTGAGGTAGTCATGACCGGATTTATCGTTTAACATGTTGCGCTCCTTTGATGGCCTGCTAGCGGCTGCGATTGCGCACGGATTTGGGTTTGATCCTTTGGTGTTTATGCTTTCAACCGAAGACCAACGCGCTACCATTGCGCCAAGGCTTCTCTTTAGGAAGTGTATGAGTCTTGATCTTAGTGGTAGGTTGCGGCTCTCTGGCTGTGCTTCTTCGTTCAGGCTCTGACTCTTTTCTCTGTCTATCCTGAGTTGTTTCTGCTCTGTCTCGTATTCTATCCTGGATCGTTTCGATTCCTTCTTGCGTCTTATGAGTACCTCATTTTCCAAATTCCGGAGTTTCGAAAGCTCTTTCTTTTTATACCTGTCCTGAGACGGAACATCTACTTTCAATTGCTTGTGTGTATCAAGCGCGGCTTTTTTGATGACTTCCTTGACAGTTTCAATGCTTTTCCCAGAATCCACCCACACGGCACCAAGGATAGATTCAACCGCCTCGGCAACCGCCTCGCCATACGCATCGTCGGCATCGAGATTGGCATTGGGCTTTGAGGTCCACTGATTATACCATACCAAATTCTCGCGTATACCAAGTGCTTTCCCTTTTTCGCGAAGAACCTTTCGACTTTCTAATTTGCTTTGCATCTCGCTGTAGTTTGCTGCTTGTTGTCTCAGCTCAGATATGTGAGCTGCACGTCGAACATACCTGCAGGGTTTCCCGTTTGGAACCAAGTATCACACAAAGCTAACGTGAGAATGCGATCACCTAGCAGTGCCATTCGGTTGTTCCTGTCGACGTGATAAGTCTTACCACCGAAGTATAGTGGTATAGCCGATGATGTGAGCTTCAATGCTTCGATGCACAGCATTTTGTTCTTGAAACTGTATCCTATACGTTCCTCGACACGCCCCACCTTCGCCGCTACATCAACTAGATCATGATAGACAATTGGTGGGGGTGTATGCAATTGCAACCGATTGGCCTCAAGCTCCGGGAAAATCTGATCTTTCCGTTGAAACAGGTGTGGATTACGAGCTTTAAAATTAGAATACGTGCTGTTCTCTTGAATATCATCTCGACTCCAAATGCTTTTGTGGTTCTGGTTGTGTAAGGATCTTTTTACATGCCATGTAAATGGGTTGCTCCTGCCGGAAAGCTTCGCTGGGACGCGGCAACGAACACGTCTCAGTGGTCCAGGCCACTTCTGCAGTCTACATGACGTCCATTGCTTGGGCTTAGGAGGCATCCCGAAAGAGTTGCGCGACCTGCACCTTGGGAAGACTGGCCCATGTCAGTAGTCTGCTCTATTAGAAACGAGGCGTTCTGGTTGGTTGACGGGGTACAAATCGCACGTTACGTACCAGCGCAGCGTCAATTGTGAGGGAGTATTCTATACCCAAATGCTGGGACAGAGCAGTTTTTTTCTACGCCACACTTAAGATGGGTGGGTCGAGCGCTTGGTTTCGATGATGTCGATGACGGAAGAGGTATGAGAGACATGTATGGTCCACCAGTAGTGTGAATCCTTAGTGCATCGACCGCACAGACAATCCTTGCTACCCCTTCAAGACAAACGTTCCCCATGCACGGTTCGGAATTCCATCAACAATACTCAAAATGACGATGTACATTACCGCTCACAATCAAGATCAACGCAAAAAAAGAACTAAGAACACGGGCAGTCACGAAAATAGTATAGTAGTTACCAAGATCAACTTACCTGACGCCTCTTTCGTTACCAGGACTATCTGGACTTGGGCTTCTTATGCATTGTATGATTTGGGCTCGGATGGTAGCCATGTGAAACAACTATTATTGGCCGTTGACTAGCCGCCAGTTCCGCGATCAGGGCGTCGAAGATACTTGATCGAAAATGATTGAAAAGCGATTCTAAGTCATGTTGTGTAATTAGAAGTGGTGGTGTATGCTTGCGCAAGTGAGCTACTGGCAAGTGCGTCGACGAATTGGCATACAATGAACGGCTGCTCGGAGAGTGTGCCTATGGCCACATTGTGCCATCCATCACGCATAATGTAATTGGTTACTCAAACGTGCTGCGTGTTATATCACACGTCATATACATCAATTCCACAACAACATGACTACATGACTTTGAGCTCTAACGTATAGTAGTGAAATCAAAGAGGGCTTTTGTATTGTCAATGTCATCACATTTAAGAATTACACAAACCGGAAGAGTGTTCCCGACGTTCGTACTTATGGTCTGGCTTCATATGTAGGTAACACCAACCCCTCTGATACCAAGGCCCAGCGTTACATTCTATCGTCAAGAGGGAAGGACACATGCGGTACAAGAAGAAAAAACCGGGAGAACATGGCGGATCAAGACTAGGAGTCTTCTGGCCAGCCAACATAGTTACTTTGACCTTCAGTTGTCCACTCTACAACACCAGCCTTTTTGATGATTTCTTCGCCGGCCGTACGCTCTGCGGATTAGAAAACACGTCCAACGGATCGATTTCCGCCTTGATGCGCTCCAATCTATCGACGTTGCCACCCCAATACAGGCGCGCGCTGTTGTCACCTAATTCAGGATCTACATAACCTGCATACGCTCCTTGGTCGTGGTTTGGTAACGCATCGATGATGATATCGTTCACATCGGTAAGAAACTTACGAGTTTTGTTGTTTACCTTGCGTATTGTTAATAAGAATGCTTGTTAATTAAAGACATGTGGAGCCCTTACCTTTCCAAACATATTTATAGCATACGATTGATGATAGAAGAGCGCGTCACGGTGTCCGTACGCTGTAGCATCAGATGCCACGTCGTTGACAGCGCCGCCCTCAAGGTCCCAAATGATGAACCACAGCGCGCCACCTTTGTCTGCTCCTTCAATATGCGTGAAGAGCTTGTCGACTGCGATGTCGGGTATTATGTCTTTCTCTGTGTATGCGAGAGATTTGGCGTAGAAGTTAGACTGTATGCCCCCCACAATTTCCAAAGCCACATCTTCGCTCCAGTGACCTACCACACCAAGCCAATCTTTAAGTTCTATTGAGTCAGATCCTGAACTCGAAGGAAGACGGGAGGTAATGTTCAGGCTGTCGAATTCAGTCTGGCTACCGAAGAAAGTGCCCGTGATGATAGCGCCAAATTGTTCCGTCAAGATGTATTGACTCGCAAACTTCCTAGAGAGCTCGGGTTCGGAGACGAGCTTTTGCCACTTCTTGAACGCCTCAGCCTTTGTTGCAGAAGAGCCATCGTGGAAATTGTACGAGTAAAGCACAGCTTCACCAGGCTCAGCCTGAGTGCGGACCTTGAACTCGGTGACTATCCCAAAACCGGCTGCAGCTCCCTTCATCGCGAAGAAGATATCTGGATTCTGTTCTCTCGAAGCACGCACTACTGTCGAGTTGGCCAGAACCACCTCTACCTCTTCTACATGATCGAGTGAGGACCCCCACATCCGAGATGTTGGTCCTAGGCCACCAATCGTTGCATGACCTCCAATACCTACTTGTGGACAAGTGCCATGGGCAATAGCACGCTTGCCGTTGTCGTGTAATCGCTTCGTGACATCGCCTAAAAGCGTTCCACTACCGATAGTAGCCTGCCAGGTTGACTCATCCATGGAGAATTGCTGGAAAGACTTCATGTCGACTACAATGGTGCTGTCCTGACCACCTATACCGTAGTTGGCGTAGGAGTGTCCGCCACTGCGCGGCTGAACTTTGAGGCTGTTATGCACGGCACATTTGACGACTGCGGCGATCTCGTCGGTAGTTTTGGGGTACGTAATAGCCGCTGGCGTCAGCGGTATATCGAGGTTATACAGCTTGACGTGTGAGAGTTGGAAAAATGGCGTGTTCTTGGAAGCAACATTCTCTTTTCCAATCGCATTCTCGAGACACTTCTGCACCGGAGAACTGGAGGAATTGCCCATGGTATAGGAGGGGAATGTCTAGTCAGAATGTCAGCTGCTTGCTGATCCTGCGCTGGGACTGAATGTACTGAAGGGGTTCCCCGTTGTCAATTTGAATGCTTGTGAACATACGTGAAGGTGCTCGAGCGTGGCTTTGAGTTGCTTTCTAGCTAAGTCACTGACGTTACCTGACTTGCAAGTGTATTTTGTATTAGGTGGAATAGCGGTGATCCAAGGGATGTAAAAGTCCATCTAGACATTAAGAACGATGCTACGAATAGGCAATGTATTCACCGTCCAGATGCCTAGCAAACACTCGCCCAATCACCCTACCCACGAATAGAGTTAGGTTGCCAACCCTATGTTCTGACTGTACGACCGAGAGCGCTGTTTGCGCTTCGAGTGTCACCCGCATGGTTGCGACAAGTCTACAAATACCGGATAGACGGTTCTGGCTAAGGCGGCTGCGAAGCGTGAATGGCCAGCATTTACGTGGGTATCTAACGACAATTGGCAAGGCGTGACGGTGCCATGCCTGCCATGCATGTTTCAGTCTCGGCCTGCCGCGTAGGGAGTACTTTACAGCCAACCCGGTGGTCAGTGGCGTACCTTTCTGTGACAACCGAGAAGATGTGTGCTGAGTTTTCTAGACCGCGTAAACCTGGAAGTGGCGAAGGTGTAGATCGCGAGGCAGGGATCGCTCCGGGCCACCCCCACCTTTGTTGTCTACACAAGATAACCAACTGTTGATCTACGCTTTCACCAGGCAGCCATAGTGGAGACTGAAAGTATAATTTTATGTCGGTTCCACCACCGTTCTTTCGGCACTCAATACCATATGCTTCGTGTTCGATGATGTGGTATCACCTCTGCCTCTTCTTTCTCCTTCTCTTTCGCAAGGTCATACAGGAAGAAGTCGATGAGAATAGCGTTGACCTTGGCGTTTGGTTTAAGCTTCAGAATCTCCCTACGGAGGAGCTCTGCAGCCCAGATGCTACAACCCCGTATCTGCATCTCCCAAGAATGGCCAGATTCGATGATCCCTTGACGGCGTATCTTATTCTCGAGAGGCGGGCAGTACCAGATTATGCCTAATGAATGTAGCATCTGAGGAATGCGGTAATCTGTAGAAGCGCCAGTTAGTCTGAACTACGAATGTAGATAATGCTCAACCATACCTGCGAAAATGGTAATCTTGTCAATGTCATCGAACTCGCCATAGCTCTCACCGTCGAACGCAGCCCATAGGTCTGCAACGAAGATCTGAGCTCGCTTCAAAAAGCGCACCTTCTTATTTTCAAATCTACCTTCATCCCTGAAGCAATTGAACTTTTCAGCGAGTAGGTTCACGAGACCGGCTGCAGAGTTGTTCGCGTCTTCAATGAGTGTGATCACACTGCCATCAAATTCCTGCGAAGTCAGTCATAAGTAAAACTGCTTGTGTGTGTGTGTGTGTGTGTGATCGTGATCTATAACAAACGCACCTCATCTAGAATTTGTCCAGCTTCTCTAAGGCATCGCACCCTCTGCTCGAACATGGGGATCTCCTCGTCGGTACCAGAAGTGAAGATGGTTCGCAGGACTTCATCTGAACATTGTTCCTGGTCAACCCAGAAAGCTGGACTAGTGATTGGGATGTCTTGTTCCAAGGCTCGTTGTAATATTGCAACCAGACTCCAATATCCTGTCCATCTCTTTCCCTTGTACACTACCGCGAAGCGCTCCTCCTCGTTCTTCTCGCTCCAGAAGCTAAAGTTTAGGAGGTCCATGGTGAAGATGAAGTTTACAGTGCTCTCGTCTTTTGCTTTGGGGTGTAGCTCATGCTCCGACCAGGTCTTGGTTGTGTAGTTCCGCTTCTCCATCTCGTCAAAAACAAGCTGCGCGGCGACTTTGGTAGATCGCATATCGAGAGCAACGTCCATGCTGTTGTCGCAGATGAACTGGGCATTTTCCAGGACTTTTGTTTCTGGTGGACCTTCGACTTTGGCACCACCGCCCCAATGCTTCCGCATGAGGTCTAGCAGCTCCAGGTCGACTTCGTCGTCGGACATGATGATGGTCGGCCGTGTACGCTAGCTCCAATTCCAGTAGTCGCGATGAAGGGCACTTCTGCGGCCGCTCGTATGCAGTCTTTAGCAAACTCCACCAGACGCAAAGCAAGTTTTTGGTGGCAGTGGGCAGCGACCAGCGTGTGTCCCGGCGCGTTTAAGGTCGACGATCCACTCATAGGGCGCTCGTTTAGGTGCCAAGCTTCGGAGGCTGAAGGCAAGCGGCGCAGGCCCAGTGGAGCGGCGCTACCCAGCTGCACTGACGTCTCTCACCTGTCGCCTTTACCTCGAGACGGCAGCTGTCCAACTTTCGCATGTCGTAGCCTCGCCCACAACACGACTTCGTTTTCGCCCATCTCCACCCCCGAACCCGCAATGGCACGCGACAGGTTTGCTCGGCAGAGCCTCGGTGGCACGCTCCATCAGCGCATCAGAGAGGTAGCTCGCACCACGCGCAGACATGCCATGTGCCAGTCGCTAATCACATGCAGGCACGCGTCTTGATGGTAGGAGCTGGCGGCATCGGCTGCGAACTGCTCAAGAACCTCGTTCTCACCGGCTTTGGCGAAATCCACATTGTAGACCTCGACACCATCGACCTCAGCAACCTCAACCGCCAATTCCTGTTCCGCAACGAGCATATCAAGAAGTCCAAAGCATTGGTACGGCAATGACCCTGCTCGCAACACCATCTCCCGCCTTGCGCTAACTGCCTGACAGGTTGCGAAAGAGTCGGCCGGCAAGTTCAACCCCAACGTCAGCATCGTAGCGTACCACGACAACATCAAGGATGGCCAGTTCAGTGTCGCCTGGTTCCAGAGCTTCGGCCTCGTCTTCAATGCGCTGGACAATTTGGACGCGCGGCGACATGTCAACAAGATGTGTCTCGCGGCCAATGTCCCGCTGATTGAGAGTGGCACCACTGGCTTCAACGGCCAAGTTCAGGTTATCAAGCGGGTGCGCAACACCACTCAGATACCTTGTCAAGCTCCTATGCTGACTTTACTATAGGGCGAAACCGAATGCTACGACTGCACACCCAAAGACGCCCCCAAGTCGTTTCCCGTATGCACCATCCGAAGCACGCCCTCGCAACCCATCCACTGCATAGTATGGGGCAAGTCATATCTCTTCGCCGAGATCTTTGGCACCTCAGAAGACGAAGCGCCCGAGCTAGACCATAGCGAAGATGCCGACAATGCCAGCGAAGTCGCGAATCTACGAAAGGAAGCACAAGCGCTGAAGCGAATTCGCGATTCCATGGGCTCCCAGGACTTCCCGCGACTGGTTTTCGACAAGGTTTTCAACGAGGATATCGAGCGATTACGGAGCATGGAAGACATGTGGAAGACTAGGAAAGCGCCCGAGGCATTGGACTACGACACGCTTATGCAGGAATCGTTGGGTGTGGGTACAGGAATCGCACAGCAAGACCAAGTCACATGGAATGTAGCGGAGAATTTCGCCGTCTTCGTGGACAGCATCAAGCGACTCAGTACTCGGCTGGAAGAGACGCGCGCAAGCGCTGATGTTGGGAACTCGGTGCCTATTCTCAGCTTCGACAAGGACGACGTGGACACGCTAGACTTTGTCGTCGCAAGCGCAAACCTGCGCTCACATATCTTTGGCATAGAAATGCGGTCCAAGTTTGACATCAAGCGTAGGGGAACCATGTACACTGTCAGAACGGCTGCTAACAAGATACAGAAATGGCTGGCAACATCATTCCTGCGATTGCGACTACAAACGCCATGACTGCCAGTCTCTGCGTTCTACAAGCTTTCAAAGTCATGCGCGAACAGCTCGACAAAGCCAAGATGGTCTTCCTTACCCGTAGCACTGAGCGCGTTATCTCAAGCGAGTCACTGCGGCCACCAAATCCTCGCTGTGCAACTTGCGGCGTATGCTATGCCACACTGCATGTCGATTTACCGCGTGCGAAACTGAGCGATCTGGTCAACCTCATCCTGAAGGAACAGCTGGGCTATGGAGAAGAATTCAGTGTCAAGCGAGATTCGGATATACTCTACGATATCGACGAGGACATGCATCTCGACAAGACATTCAAGGAACTCGGCCTTAACGGCGACACCTTCCTCACAATCTCCGATGATTCGGAAGAAGATGGGAAGGTTGATTTAGTATTTTCTGTGATACACCAAGATTTCACCGAGAATGCAAACCCACTCAGGTTACCGGATGAGGTCAAGATTGCGACAAAGCCCAAGATGCCTGTACCAGAGACCAATGACCATGCGACTGTCAACGGCACCGTTCTGAACGGTGACGTCACGGATATCAGCAACGGAAACACGAATGGTGCTGCGAAGCGCACAGCCAGCGAAGCAGGTCTCCAGGATGAGCTCGTCCGGAAGAAGGGTAAGGTCATCGAGGAGTCACAAAAGAAAGACGATGGCCACATCACTATCGAAGACGACAAGAATGACGGAGCGATTGTCATTGATGATGACTGAACGACTTGGCGACTAGCTTGATTGCTGGCTGCAAGTCAGCCAACCATCATCTTGCGTCTCGTCATGGGCTCTGTTGGCGACACTAAAGTATACGATATACTTCACTCTTTTTTCTTCTCGACGTTGGATCATAAGCGTTGGAGGCTGATTGCTTATGTCCATTGCAGCCATCTCACCACATCCTTGCACCTGGAACAACGGCTCGGTATTCGATGCGCTTGCAGCATATAGATTTCCTTTCCTGTACCATACATCAGTCAGCCATTTGAAGTCGTCGCCATGGACGTCTTCTGGATCCATTGGCATACCCCAGTCTAAGGAGCATTTGGTGGAAGGAATCACGTCTGGAGAAAGCCACCAGGCCGGAATGCAAGGCCGGAATGGCAACTCATTGGGAAGATCTCAAACATTGTAGTAGTAAATGACTTAGACGGCAGATAAGCCGCCATCTAGATTCAATACACAATTGTGTGCATATTTGTTTTCAGCGAGAAACAGTGCTGCGTGAGCAATTTCATCCGGTTTGCCAAAACGATTTAACGGTATACGTTGTTGAAGCTCAGAGGCATTCAAGTCTGTTGATCGTCAAAAAAAAAACCATCATTTTGTATTACCATATGATTCGACGCACCTTTTGTCATATCCGTTTCCACGTATCCAGGTACAATGGCATTGACGCGGACTTTGTGACTAGCATACTCGGTAGCCAGAGCGCGAGTGAAACCCAATACTCCCGCTTTCGATGCTGCGTATGCAACAGCCCCGTAACCACCTTGCAGGCCTAACAGCGAGCTGACATTGATAATGACTGGGACATCAGCATCTTCCTTAGTCCTGCCTCCCAGGTAACCGTTCCTGTGCAAAAATCAATATGGTCAGCACATATACACGTAAATAAGGGAGCCAGCATGCGCATTTACACGGCTATTGAGTGGGTTGCAGTACCGTAAGAGGAATTTCGTCCCCTGCATCACAGAAGTTAGATTGGTTTTGATGATACTATCAATTTGGCCTTCATCCAATGCAGAGAATAGCTTTGCCTGCGTTACACCGGCACAATTCACTACTACGTCGATGTGTGAGGGGTGAGTAGGATACTTGCGCGTGTCTGGTCGGGGAAGACGAGCAGCAAATTGACAAGAGGGACTCAGCGACCAAAAGTTCGAGCCGTTAGATATGTCTCCAGCTATATGTCCATGTTGGTACGGCGAGCTCGATGTTCTGGATAGTTTGGACGCCTCACTATCGCCAGGTGAGGCTTGGAGTCCGGAAGACGACAAAGGCGATAAGCTTGCTAGAGCCTTTTTTAGATTTTCTTCTGAGCGAGAGATTAGGGTGCAGCGGTATGCGTTCTTGGAGAATAATTGCGCGATTGCGAGACCGATGCCTCGGCTACCGCCCGTGATGAGGACGTGTTTTGGGCGACTTGCCATGGTAGGTTTGGTACTTTTCGGTCCTGGACAGCAGTCGACACGTTGGTCAAGGGAGAGAGGTACCCGAGACACAGTTTTCGTTTCAGAAACAATCGCAATAGTTGTGTTCTAATGGCCTTCCAACGAACAAGCTAGAAGGGAGATACAAAAGTAGATGATGTAAGCCATATTCTGCCCGCGCGAGAAAACGTGACAGCGCGCGCCTCCACAACTTCCCCGCGAACCCACCATTTCTCTTACGCAACGTCACACACCACATCTCCCACTCGACATATCATATTCCAGCTATCTCCGGTACTGAAAAGAGTCCCAGCATACATTACAGACAATAATGGTTGACGAAAAATCAACGAAGTACGTCACTCTGGTCTCTAACGACGGCTTCGAGTTCAAGATCCTCCGTTCAGCAGCATGCATAGCAGGGACGATTAAGAAGGCACTGGATCCATTGTGTAAACATCTCTACCTCACATGTACACCACATCACAAGCTAACGATCTATCTCAGCCGGCTTCAAGGAAAACGAGGAGAACACCGTCCACCTAGCTACGATTAAGTACGTTTCCCCGGACGCGTTCCTTGGCCGATTACCATAGCCCCAACAAACGAGATATGCATGGAAATTCTAACTAATACAACGTAGTGGCGTAGTTTTGGAAAAAGTCTGCGAATACCTCTACTACAACCAAAAGAACGCTGAAAGTAAAGATGTCTCGGACATGGATATTCCGCCTGAACTTTGCTTGGAGCTGTTGATTGCGGCAGATTACTTGGATGGTACGTACATAGGAGCCACGTCGGGAAGGGGCGGTTGCTGACTATCTCTAGTGTGAGGTGACGATCGCAAGACCCGCGATAGCCGGTGTACTCTCCCCAGCGCCTTTTTATACAAGGAAACGAAAGCACGTGGGCATGGTGTTTCAGGCATACAAGCACGTTTGCATAATTGTGTTCCACGAAGCCACCGATACGAGATGGAAGCTTGATGTGGAAGAAACAAGAGACATGGTACGGGGAGCGCTCATGTTTAAGGAGAAGGAATAGAGAAGACGCCCTACGCACAGCGTACTTTAGGAGCCATACAGTCTATGCGTAGAGGAGTGTGAAGACAGACTCTCAAGTATCGGCGGAAATGAAAAGAGAGTGCTTCTTGGTGGGCCTGCACTCCGTTCTACGGGTACGGCTATCATCTCTCGCTACACAACGGTCTTCGTGCACCTCTGCCTCTTCTGCCTCTGCAAAGTCCGAGTCAAAAAAACCCATCCAGTTCATTGTTCAGTGTGCTGATCTGCCGATACATGCGACGAAGGTCTGGATATCAATAACATAACGAATGTGCTGTCGATTGGTATTAAACGTACTAAGCGGATGGTGAAACGGTGAACAAGGTGAGTGCTCTAGCTGATAGCGAACAAGAAAAAGAAAAGAAGCGCCTCAGCGCCCTATGAATAAGACCCCATGTTGAATGTTCAGCTGTGTTAGCTTTCTCCACTCTTTAAAAGCCCTTGCAGTGCAGTGCATGTCTATCGACAGTCCTTCTCTACTCTTCCTGTGCCCAAATCTTCTCCCTCTGTATCATGCGTTCATTTTCCGTCTCCTTGCCACCGTCAAGTGTCTTCTTCCATGCAAAGTACTCGCCTAATCGGATTTCAGCATAGCTCGCATAATCGAACTCAATCAGAGAGATCTGAGCCTGAATCAACGCCCAAATACCCCAGTAGAAGCCAGGAACGCCGCGGAAGCGATCGACCTGGTCGAAAAGCTCCTGCAGCTCTTCCTCCTTGTACGACTTGTTTTGGTGGGCGTTGAAGCTGCGGAGATACTCGCGGAGAAAAGCGCGGCGAATGGTGCGTGTGGGCATGGCGCTGTAATCGCAGTCGAAACCGCCCCATTCGGCAAAGTGGTTTGCAATGTCAAATGAAGCAGGAGCAGGCGTAGCATACTCGTAGTCGATAAAGGACACTGTAGCAGCTGCTGTCTCGGGCTCGTCTGAAGCGCTCGAGGCACTAGAGCGGCGCGAAGCAGCGGCAGACGAAGGTGAGGGCTCGATGATCACGTTGCCTGAGAGTAGGTCGCAATGGGCGAAGACAAACGGATTGGAGCCGCCAACACCAGGCGTGTCACCTAGCAACTCAACTAAGCTTTCGAGTTCTTGCATCAGCTGGTCTCTCCTTTCCGACTGCGCGGTGGTGCTTGTCGGCAGCGCAAGGATCCATTTCTGCATAGTAGTCCACACATTCGGGATGGGCTTGCCTGGCGTGAGTGTGGCCATGGCCGCCAGAGACGCACGCTTGTTGTTGTGTGAAGTGAGTTGTGCGGGCGCAGGACATGTGCTGCTAATACTCGATATAGGTAATGTGGCATGCCATTCCCCCAGCCTTTGAGCTACCCCTCGCCATACTTCTGGCCGACGCAGATCTTCGGGCGTACACACACTGCCTTGAATGTACTTGTATAGGAGACCATTTTCAAACCGGGCGTAGAGAGACGGTGCGAGGTTGTGGCGTGCGAGGAGCGAGTGGGAGCGAGTTTCCTCTGCGAACTTGTTTAGTTTCGGTAATGGGTGTTGCGGATGGACACCTACTCTCGCGGTCTATCAGGACGTCTGTTCCCTTTCCATATGCGCGCAGCAGAATCGCATCGTCATCAACCTCGACTTTGGAGAGACCGGGCAGCTTGTTCACCGCTTTCAGAAGCTATCCGTCGTCTTAGCTATTGCGTACAGAAATGGGGGCCGTCGCCAGCAAAGCACTGCTAGCATATGCATACCGTGTTCGTAATGCCGTCGGTGAACCTCACAAACTCAATTGTATCCTGAGATTCCTGCCATTCTGGCCGTAGCGCGAGTATGAGGTTGAGCGCAGAGTTGTGCGAGTCGGAGTTGTCGTAGTACTGCGGTATGTTCCGGAGAGAGTCGTACGATGATTGTGCTTTACTCATAATGATGTCTTGACACTACTCCATGATTAGTCCCTTGGTGTGTTGTGGTGCTGGCTGGGCTGCAGGAGAATTAAGAAGACATGGAGAGATCCTTCCGTCGCATGTGAAAGGGCGAGTCCCAAACAGACAGCAGTCGCAATGGACTGGCTGCATGACGTACCAATTGAGGATAGCTATGCTTCCGCTCGAGAGAAAAAAGCAAAAAGAAGAGGATTCGGCTTGTCGGGCGGTCAAGGTGTCTTGTATGAACGAAGGGTGCAGGCAGAGCATGTGCCGATTCGATCGACACCCACGGGGGTCGCGTGGGCCCTTTTCTCAAGCGCTCTCTTCCCCTGTCCTAGCCCCGCAAAGCGCCACAGACCCTTTCCCTGTGCAACTGCCTCAGCCACATGACGTCCCTCGTCTTCGTACGCGGCCATCAATGCACTCTGAACCTGCATTCCCAACCCAACCTGATCCAGCTCGTCTACGCTACACTCGATAGCCTGTCCTGCCCACGACTGCCGTCAGCTAAGGCGGATACCCGGCTTGGTACGTGCGACTTGTGGCTGTCTATGCATAGCGACGTCTGCTGCGGGGCTTACAATGTCACTATGCCACCTGCGGGTGCGTTTTATACCGCCGATTGGGTGTCGGTAAACCACCTGCTTGATGGAGGGATAGCACATGTTGATGTACATGTTGGTGGTCCATGACGTTGAGGTGAAACGCGGCAGTCGCTGCAAACTGTCATCTTGTTTATTGCTAAATCTCTTTGCTGAAGGTCGAGGCCAAAAGAACCTCACTGAAAACGCCGCGCTTGCTGCGCATAGGGTATATCCGTAGTCTAAACACCAAAGTTGAACTTCAACCTAGATAACACTCATTCCGCCCATACCGTTGCGCCCAAGATATACAAGCCCTCATTGTACTTTCCTGCCAGTGCCCTTGCGGGCTCTCCACTTGTATGATCCAAGGCCAATATCCATAGCGCTGCTCTGCAGATTTGTCAACCCATCGAATGATTCCTTGCCCAGAGTGATGACCTTGACAGTATTGCCGAACCCTACCACGACGCTGCGCTTGCCTAGTCTGGTCATCGGACCAGGAGCTGCCACGAAAAGCTCGTCTTCGTATGAGCCCTCCGTTGTGCCATCGAGGTTATCAGAAACAAGCGGCCTACAGCGAAACTCCCCTGTAGTGGATAGTGTCCACGCCTCCCACGTATCAACGTCGCCAGGAGCGTGACTTCTCTGATTACCCTTGGCGAACGACGTCTCAAGAGATTTGAATGGGTTCAGATTGCCTTGAATCTGAGCTCGCTGCTTGAGCGCCGATGCAAGCGCGAATGGATCAACACCTTGGTTACCATCGTCAGCGCCTGAAGCCGTTGATGGTGTGGGTGATTGCGCATATCTCCTGACCCCTACAACACTGAGTGCATCTGTCGACTCCCACACTCCGGCAGGCTCAACGTAATGCACTGCCTCCTTTGCTTGATCGAGCCCCCGACACCGGTGCTTCTCCCTGTCCAATGGCTTTCCGAGACATATCTGTGACGACGTATTGTCGTCGAGGGAGAAATTTTGCAGGATCATGTGGCCGGTGTCTAATTCTGTATATGCCACAGCAAGGGAGTTCACTGTTGGGGCTCCACATTGACACGTTCGTCGCATAGGATACAGGACCCTGAATGAATGCGGCTTGATGTGGCCGATCTGGAAGGCGTGCACGAGAGCTCGACTAGTAAAGTCAAAGATTTCAGCCTCCTCGTCACGCAGTGCGAAAATAAGACCTAGGCTGGGAACTGCCTCTATGCATCGAATCTTCGCAGGGTTGCTGCCTGGAGGTGGCCCCGGGTCAAGACCAGCGACTACTTCAGACATTATGTTGTTGTCCTCTGTCAGCGGTAAGATGTGTACTTCCCCGGGTTTTGTCACAAAAACAATGCTTGTGTCGCCATGAACTGAGGTGTATGTTGCGGTACAGGCGATGGGACTGGATGATACGCGTCTAGTGTAGTGGATGCCTGTACATGCTTCGAGCTTCGTCAGATGCCCATCCCGGCTGACGATGATGAGGTAGAGCTTTTCAACATCGCGTGTTTTGAGGTAGACAAAGGTAAACAAAATGGGCGCCTGTCCGCGGATGTCGATTTTTGGAAACATGAGGAAACGTGATGCAGGGATATCCCATAAGCCGATTTGACCGCTCTCTGCACAGAGCGCAAGTATGTTGCCACCGTCATCCATGGCGGTAGCGTAAATGGGCCAAAGCTTTGGTTTCATTGATGCTGTCTGCAGCGTAGTGTGCAGATATCCTCCACGACCGTGTAGCCATAGCGCAGTACTCCTATCAAGAGATATACTAGCAAGATGGCCTTTTGAACAGGAAGTCAAGTGCACAACGTCTAGGTTCTGCGGCGTTGGTAACGTCTTGATCGACAGTGTGACTTCTTCGTCCTCTTCGCTCTCTTCAGCAGTCTTCGGAAGTCCACTCCAAAGAAGGTAGTTCATGAACAGTGTTACAGCCGCAATAAGGGTAACAACGATCAAGGCTACTGGGAACGCATGTCCACGCGCAAAGCGTCGGAGCCCATCCATGAAAGACAACGGTGGCTGGGGTCGGTCGCGTCCATACGCCCCCTTGGCAACAACCAGGATGGGGTCATATATACGAGCTACAAAACTCGGAGCATCGGGCTTGATAAAGCCAAAGAGTTCCCGGGCAGTGTTGTGGTCTTGGATTCTTAGCCAATCAGCGGGGGTCCTAGCCTGATTGATTGGTGGTGGGCTCCATGTATCAGTGGCGCGTCTGCATTTTCTGGACGTGAGGTTCCGACGAAGTGTGTCAAGAGACAGCTGTTTGCCATCGCTGTCGAAAAAGTGCCAGTTGATAGCGAGAATAATGGAACAAATGGCTACAGTCCCGGCAAATCTCGTGCTGAGTGGCAGAGTACCCTCAAACAGTGCCCCGAGCCAGGATTGTCGTTCTGCCCGGTTCTTCTTATTACTTTGGTTGAGATCCTCGCGCTCCAGCGAGTCCGAAAGCTCCATTCTTTGCACGTCCACACTTAAGACTGCGACAAAGAAGGTCAAATGGAAAACAAGGTCGAATACAAGTGTAACGGCAGCGAAGACGCAAAAGTCAGCTACCCAAGGTGAAACGAGCCGAGAACAAATGTATAATAGGGCGAGATTTTGAAAGGCGATGGCAAGGGACAAGTGACCGACTTCTCCTAGCGCATTTCCGATTCGCTGTTGGGGAGGCATCTCGGGGGGTGTCTCTAGGACGACATTAATCAGACGAAATCTAGTACCGTTAGCCAAATCGAACGTGAAGCCGCAACCGTACGTACATATTTCCTAAACCGAAACAAAAAACAACTCCAGGAAACCATGGACGGGGTATCCGTGCTAAATCGATTCCAAGGTAGGTACAGAGAGTAAAACTTGCAATCACGCATATAGTCATCTAGTCAGTGGTTAGCAATCGCATCCGCGCCTTACGAGACTGAACTCACCTTGACACATATCGTTACAAGCAGGCCAAACCAACTTTTGACTGCTCGCAGCTGCATCATCCTCCATATGACATAGGCAGCGGTCACCATGTAGGATGCCGCGAGGAACAAGTCGTCATTCAAGGTCATTGGCTTGAAACGGAATTCATAGAGTCGGCTTCGCCCTACCTGGCCATCAGGCGGGAAGATGGTCCAGTCCGGAGATAGTTTTTCCGCTAAAAGGCGCGACCTTGAGTCCCATGTATCTCCCAGGCTCGAATTGGTCTGGTCAAACAGCGTGATGACCAATGCATCTGCGGCGCGAAGCTTGGTGTTGGAGAAGGACTTGCCGGCAAAAACGGTGCTCGGTCGCAGCGTGACGTTGAGTGGCGAGCGTATTCGAGCATGAGCGTTGATGGTTCCGAGGAGGTCGGAGTCCTTCTCCAGCGCGCTCAAAGAGCAGTCCCAGTACAGCAACGGCGAATGCCAACCCCACTTCTCTCCCGGTGGTGCTACAACGCAGCCTGGGCCATGGCGGGCGAGCATGTGCTGGTCGTCGTATGCAGCGCCTTCTCTTGTATCGAAGCCACCGTTGATGAGGACTTCCTGGACATGCATTGCTTCGCGCAACACAGGTAGGGCAATTGCGTTCATGTAGTCTCCATGAACCCAGACCTGACGCACTACGATGTCGGCGGGTCGCTCGCCCTCGACCTCGGTGGTCGATGTCCAGACATGCTTGGGGAGGTTGCGTAGAGCGGCGGCGGCAGAGCTGTCGGCCTGGAAAACCGCCTGGTAACAGAGGAGGACGGATATGGTAATGGTCAGGACGATGGAGAGCAGCCAATGCCGTGCAGTTGCCGTGCCGTGGGCCTGGAACGCCCGTCGGATGGGGTGCGAGGTGGATAGCCGTGGTGGTTCAGTGGTACTACATATTGCCGTTTAGCATCATCCATGGGCACCCGCATCGGACGCGTGCTCGTCGCATGGCGGCTACTCACCCACGCAGCGGATAGAGAAGATACCAGATCATTCGGGGTCGCGGTGCCTCTTCCCCAAGGGCATGCCCGGGCTGGAGTTGGATGAGGCCTCAGCTGCGGCCGAGGGTTTGCGACGCACTCTTCGTCGAATGCGATGTGTACGAGTGTGGGGCGGCTCGTTCATCTGTCGGAGCAGGCGCGAGGGACGGCCGAAAGGCGCGACTTGGTTTTGGCGCTCTAAAGGCACGACGTCGGCGGGCGATAGCGATGGCGCAGCGTCACTTTGACTTTGCGGCAAGTTCCAAGGGCCGTCTCGGTCTCGATGTGCATGATTGATCATTCGTGGCGTTGGGGCGCCGGCGACGTCGAGTTCGCTGCCAAGAACGGTCCTGTCTCATGGCATCGGCCGCAACTTGGTGTTACACCCTCAGCTTCCCCTCGCCAATAGGCTTGCTTCCCTGCAAGCGACAGGCGCAGACCGTCCACATGCGGGCTTGCAGGCACGGGCAAAGTCATCTCGTCCTACACACAGATCCTGACCAAGTTGCCGACGCCCGCTCTATTCAGCAGCTCGAGGCGGGACACGAACGCGAACGCGGTAGCATGCAGAGTGGGGAATGATTGGTGTGTGGCTTCGTCTATTCAGGAGCTGTCACGGCAAAACTGACAGCATCCTAGTGCCCATCGTGGGTTCGCGGCGGCATCCTACATGCAGGGACCGTCCCACGCTGTGCCAACTGCTTGGGGTTGGGTAATGTCCATAGCCTCAAGTAGCGCTTCTTGCTATCCATCCGTGCACACTGGGTATCAAGAAAAATCTACAGTACATGTGAAGGCGTCTAAGAGCTGCCAGACCAGCCTGTACCACACTGACATATCCCAGACATAATCAGCCTGTGCTACTCCAGTCGTCAAAGTTCAACGTTGCTGCCCAATTTCCCCTATCTCGGTCTCATTACCATCGGAGCCGCTTTCCAACTTGTTGCTGACCCAGGGGTCTCCTCATCGCGGCTTAGTGGAACAGCCGTCACCATCGAACTCCATCAACATCACGTATACTGGAATCACGTGCCTTCCATGGTCTCATCATCATCAGCGTCATCGTCCCCATCCTCGGCGTCATCTTCCCATTCTTCATCTTCCTCACCGGTGGAAGGGCCAAGTACGTCGTTGAGCTCCTTCAATAACTCATCAGCGTGTTCCTTCAATCGCTCATCCTCGTATTCCAGCATAGCGAAGAGTTTGAGGCAATTCTCCAGCCAATCGCGACTGGCACGTAGTAGAGATGTTGCAACCTTGTCTTCTCCCTTGGTCTTTTGTTTCCCAGCCAGCAAGTGAAGACACCATCCGCCCAGATACCATGCCTCAACGCTGCCATCGTTCTCGCCCACTAACCGCTCCAACACTTCAATAGCTTCGTCTTCCATTTCAGCTTCCATAAGCAGGCGGGAAAGACTGATTCTGGTCGAGTAGTCTGGAACCTTGGGGTCATCTGGATCGAGGTCTTTCCAAAGGTCCATACTCCTTGTCAGTGCAGATTTCGCTTCGTCCGGCTTCAGTTGCGAAATGCGTATCGATGCGAGCGTCTGTAGTGGTTCTGGGTTTTCGGGTGCGAAAAGCAGCGCTTCGGTGACTGCGGCGTTGCATCGCGCTTCGGCGTCCTCTTCCCAAGAGAGATCTGTCATATAGACTTCAGCAATACCACAGAGCGAATTTGCGATCTTTTGCCTCTTCTCCTCCAACAGCTCTTCGACTTCATTGTTCTTCGCCCGCTTCCCTTCCAGTTCACTGATCTCTTTCTTCAGCACTTCAATGCCCTTTTCGAACCACCGCACACTCTCGGCGCCTCCCTCTTCATTCAATTGTGCCAGCCATAGGAACTTCTCGGCTCCGTCGTTTGCGCCTTCTGGGTCGATTACGATGGCCGCTTGAAAAGCTTCTCGCGCAGAATCTGGGTCGCCCAATTCCACATTGATCTCGCCGAGGAGGTTCAGTGCAGGCAGCGCTGCAGCAGAAGGCTTCGATGTGCCGGGCTGGAGTAGGTTCAAGGCTCTTCGCGCGGCGACGAGCGCTTCTTCGGGTTGTGACGTTTGTAGGAGTGTAGCCGCTTGAATCAAAAGTTCCTCTGGCGATGCTTTCGACTTTTTCGACTCGCCGCTCTTTGCGCTCTTCTTCGTCTTGCGATCGGTAGGTTTTGTTTTCGCCATAATGTGAGATTATGCGTGTTGTGGTTGCAGACGTCAGAAGCCTGGTTACCAAAAATTATTTCTCGAGATCGGCAGTCGGACGGAGCTAACGTGGGGAAAGCGCGCCCCGCCAAAGCAGCCTCAGTGTCACTACAGATGCCATCACTCCCACAGTTTCCATACTTGGCTTTACACAATGGGCATCGAAGACCAGAAAGAAGAGCGAGAGGTGCTCGAGTCGATTTTCCCCGACGAGATTACAGGTAGTGCTACTCTGCGCAACATCTTCGGACCGTCTAGTGACAATCCGCAGATGTTTCCGAGACCGAGTTCCGAATCGCAATAACGCTCGACGATGGCCGCCACGAAGACGATGAGAGCGAAGAAGAGCAACGTATGCGACTGTACCGTCTCTCCAGGCAAACACAAGCTCACGACTACCAGCCGTCATCATCCTGAATGTTTCCTACCCGCCCAACTACCCCGACGAAGCGCCCAGGCTTGATGTAACACAACCGCCCAACGCGCCGAGACACGCCTACCTCGATATACAAGAGGACAAGCAGCGGCTGCTAGACTCGCTCACCGAGACGATTGAAGAAAATCTCGGCATGGCCATGGTCTTCACCCTCGTCACCGTCCTCAAAGACAGCGCTGAGCTCCTCATAACCGAGCGCCAGAATGCAAAACAAGCCCTCGCCGACATAGCCGCTGCCAAAGCTGAGGAAGAAGAGAACAAGAAGTTCCAAGGTGAAGCCGTCAATCGAGAAACATTCCTCGCATGGAGAGACAAGTTCAGGAAAGAGATGGAGGACGAGAAGAAGCGCAAGGAAGAGGAGAAGGAGCTGGAGGATAAGAAAAAGAGGATTGTCAAGGAAGAAAAAAAGTTAACGGGCAAGGAGCTGTGGCAGCAGGGCTTGGTCGGAAAGGTGGATGACGACGATGATGACGACGTAGACGAGGTGGATGTAGGGAAGTTGAAGATCGAAGCGACCTCATGATGATACAAGACGTCGACATGTCAGGTCACACATATACCCATCTTGCTTAACTTCCTGAATGCAGTACGCTGCAAGTATCACGGATATAAGATAAAAGTCATACACATGTTACACCACGCAGGTGCAACACAACGCTGTCCATTGTACTCATGATTCTGGTTTTATGACTCGTATGGGATGCCTCCTCCTTCCTCTTACAATTGTCTGTCCCTCCTTCAGCGCAAGTTCGGTCTCCATGTCTACAATCCTTTGCATCTTCCTCGTGATTTGTCTATCCTTCTTCAAATCCTTTTCATATGCTTCCTGGTTCTCCGACTGCGAAAGCCGAACCGCATCTGTCCATCTCACGGTATCTTCGCGCTTCTTCAATTGCTCGTTCATGAGCACATCCCACTTATCCTCCTGCTGACATATGGGCAGCCACCAATTGTCCAGAAGAACCTTGGTGTCGAAGAGCTCCGTTTTTCGCTCTAGTCTCTGGTGGAGGACTTGACTCAAGGCTGGAGGCTGGGGCTTTGTAAGCCGGAGGAAGGGTATGCCGTTTGCAGAAGCGAGTATGGGAACGTGGCGGGGTCCAGAAGTTTGCGCATACGGACGAACATTGAGGACAGCTTTCTCGGGTGGTAGGCGCGCGAGCCGTTCTTTGAGGGGATCTGGCGGCGTCTCTCGCCGTGGCTTTATTGGTAGAGTGCGCGTCAGAGCGCAGGGTAGTTGGGAAACCAGCCGCGTCAGAATGCTTATGCTGGTTGCGTCTCCAGTAGCGGAGGCATCGAGATGGTCAAGCGTCTGCGTATTGTCAGTTAATTGTGTAAACAATTAACATGACGAACACCATACCTGGTAGCCAGCTTTGAAGCTTAGGCCCAACTGATACGGACTCTGTATCTTTCTGTTCCGTCGGAACTTGTTGCGAATAGCGTTGCGCAAAGATACGCGGTCGTCATCCGGGAGTGGAGCGGAGGAACATCGCGACAGCAAAGCTCGATATAGAGCAATCGCTAATGGCTGTGTTAGGATGAACGCAGGTCTTGGTAGTTTGAGAATCTAACCTGCTACACGATGCTGTGTCGACTTTTTAGGCTGCAGGAATCGGGGCATGCATGAGATGGCTTGGTGGTGTTGCGAAGCTTGAGCTGCAACGCGAAATATTTGGACTGCGATGTCATCGTCACGTGCGCACCATGTCTTAGAGTCAAGTACAGGATTGTGCCCGCTGAGTGTCTAGATGTACCTCAGCCTGACAGATTACTTGGGTTTCTGCAAGGATTGCGCTTGAATTATTCACAGGGCATAAGGGAAAAGCAAGATGGAGGATGAAATATGCCGCTTATTATCCTGGTATCTTGCCAGACTGAATGGCTAGGCTAGCAGACCATAACTCCGTTCCATGCACTGTGACTGCCTGCGTGCCATACTGTCATATATCGTGTTGATTTCACCCTGCCCAAGACTGCCTTCTTGGTACAGGCCGTGTGCTCGATGTTCTTAGAATGTGGCTCCCTCGGGCGGCTGGGGAAGCTTCTTGTTCTGCGGCAGCGCCATGTACCTGGAACCCAGTCAGTCTTGCGCAATAGGAATCTGGAGATGTTCTAACCTTCGAAGCTCTATCAGTATCGTCTCCATGGTGAAGTCTCGCTTCCACTGAGCCAGACATGGCAGCTTTGACGCATCGACCTGGCCTTGTTAGCATGCACACAGCATCCACGCCTTTGGTCATCGTACCTTTCCGTTCTGAGGGTTGACGCAGGGCAGGTTGATCTTGGACGTGAACTTGATCTCGGGAGGCGTGTCGGGGTAGTCTGGGCCGCAGTGAATCGATACGCTGTAGATACGGTTCTCGTGGACGCTCTGGAATATGGTCAGTATACGGTGTCTTGATTGAAGATAGAAGTGCATACGTGTGGTGGACCAAGTATAGTACCGTTCCAGTCGGACATCAGGAGGTCATCGCCGTTGTCAAGACCATATGAACAGGCCTCTGTGAACTCTCAGCAACCTGCTACCCATAGCTATACCACAAGTCTACCATACCGGCACCGAGACCTTTCTCGCCCTTCTCTAACTCTTCCAGCAAACGGAAGTTACGCGGGACTTTGGCGCCCATAGTAGCTATAGTATGTGTGAAGGCTGAATGGAAGAGTCGCGCGTGAGGAAGTGGGCTGGACCCCGCTATGCGATACTGGGAACTGTCGGCGGCTGAGCTGGGGTTTGGGCAAGACCGAGGACCAATCTGGAAAGCGCACAAGTTGATGTCTGTGTCCGATGCACGTTAGGCGCAATTGTAACTTGCTGCGTGTCAAAGCGTTCGATGTTTGTCCAAAGATGCCAGTCGGCCTCACTAGCGTCGATGGTTATGACGAGGTGCCAGGGTCTCACCTGGCACGCGTGCATCGCTTGGCCTGTCGCCTCTAGACGCGACAACTATACGTTGCCTCTAGCAATTCGACCAAACAACAACACAGTACCGCGTTCTCGAGTCGCTCCTTTGCTTGCATTGACCGTCCAGATGCTCCGGCTCATACCAAAAGAATGACAGCTCAAATCTTGGCGGCTGAATTAGGCAACCTTATACAGGATGCAAAGCGCAAGAACACAGAACTACGAAATGCTGCAGAAGCAGCTTTGAAAGACTTGAAGTCTCTTTCTAATACTTCTGAGGCTCAACTTTCGGCTGGTGAGCTAGCCCAGTGTCCGTCGCTTCACATATATTGACCGCAGTCAAGATCTCTCCCGACGGCCTCATTTCATCTCGCCTTTTCTAATTGCCTGTGGAACTCAGAACGCCAAATTCGCATCTACAGGAATCTCATGTCTCCAGAGATTATGTGTTTCGCGGTCGTTGCCACGAGAACGGCTGACAGAAGTACTAGAAGCATTTCGGGGATCCGTGGCATCAAGTAAAGAAGGTCAATCACCGAGCGCTTTCAATATAGCTAACACTACTAGGTCATGATGTTCAGTTGAAGATACTGCAGGCGTTGCCTTCACTGGTGCAGAACTACCCCGCGGAAATACGGAGCGAGTCACTATCCGCTGTCCTGCAAATCTGTTCAAGTCTTCAGAATGCGAAGAATTTCGCCGTCAGCAACACGGCTGCAGCTACATTGCAACAACTAGTCATTGTTGTATTCGACAGGGTTGCATCAGAAGATGGTATTTTGTCGAACTAAGAGTACATACGTGTTGTAGACTGACCAAGCGCAAAGAGAAGTCCCTAGAGATCCCCACAGTGACCGAGGTGAAAGGCGACGATGGCCAAGTATCCGTCAGGCCGGCAGCGAACGATGCCTACAAGGTCTGTAAACTTCTTCCATGGTAGAAGCTTTACTGACCGAGCTTAGATGTTTACCGATCTTATTGCACTTGTTGTAGGAGAGAAACCCATCTTCATGCGATTCGCTTCTCTGCCGCCAGCCTCAACACTGGAACTAATCGAGGCCATCTTATCAAATCACAATAAGATCATGACGACCCATCTTGAGCAGATCTACATCATGCGATCCCAGCTGATGCCGCTGATAATTCGCTCGCTATCTGACCGTCTGTCCTTCGCAGTAACTGTTCGTATCATCCGGATACTACATCTCATCATCCGATATCACCTTGACACGCTTCCCTCCGAATGCGAGATTGCGCTTGGTCTTCTGAACCACATGCTCGATCCCGAGGCTTCTCAGGCATGGAAAAGAGCTCTTTGCCTCGAAGTGTTCCGCAGCATCTACGCTGATTCTAGACTTCTTCTAGCAATTTATGCGCTCTTCGATGCGGAAAACGGAAAAAAGAACATATTCGGAGACAATCTAGCTGCTTTCGTTCGTCTTGCGACCGAGAAACCAGCAATCATTGGCTTAGGCCAACACTCGACAGCTGCCGCTGGCTTTGAGGACAGTAGTGCCGCGGTGTCAGACCAAGCTGTTGCAGAAGCGGGTGCATTGGCCGGCGTCATAGGGGGCTCCGTGAGCGATAGTAGCAACAATGTTCGTCCTTCAGGTATCAGCATGCAGTGGAGCTCTCTCAAGACTCCTTGTATCGAACATCTCGACAAAACCGAGCCGCCTGCATTACCCGAAACGTACATATATAGTCTGGTGCTAACTTGCATCACTAATATTTCCGAGAGCTTAGCGAAGTTTGTTCTTCCTCTGACCGTACATCATGAAAATCGGAATCGGAAGAAAATCAAGGCCGAGGAGACGAACGAAAACGACACAGACGCATCTCCAGATCGAAACGTTCGAAGACTCTCGAGAACTCACTCTTTCCGCAAAAAGACTATACCAGTCAACCCTCTTGACTTGACCGATCACGCAGCGTACCCCTACGTGCAAATCTCAACGAAATTGGTCACTGAATGCTGGCCTGCAGTCCTTGCAACCTGTTCAACATTTCTCAATGCGACGCTTGACGCAGACTATTATCGGGCTCTAGTCCGAGCCATACAGAAATTCACCCAGGTCGCTGGACTTCTTAGACTCTCAACACCGCGAGATGCGTTTCTCACAACCATGGGCAAGGCAGCAGTCCCGTCAAACTTGCTGTTAGCAAACGCTGCGTCACCTGTGGGTGAAAAGCCTGGTATCTTCTCTAATGCAAGAGGGATGCTCAGCGTAGACAGCTTCGTGAGTCAAGCTTCCTCAATGTCCACTGATAAAAACCGGCGCCCTTCACACGATGTGTCAGCACCTACACTGGGACCTCGCAATCTATTGTGTCTACGGGCTCTGCTCAATTTGGCAATCGCGTTGGGCCCGACGCTGCAATCAGCCTGGTCCATCGTCTTTGAGACGCTTCAAGTAGCCGATCTAGTGCTATCCTTGTCCAGCCAGACTAGCAGTCGTGCATCTGTATCTGGAAATCGTATGGATATGGAAACCAACACGGAGAAGATGGAGGCAGAAACCTCAGCTGTGCAGAGCGCCGCTCGCAGACTTTTCGAGAGTACTGTGGACTTTCCTAACGATTCCTTCTCTGAGGTGTTGCAAGCTCTTTGCTCACTTCTCAATGGTGTATCGCCCTCAGAGAGCGGGCAAAGAACACCAACCACTTCTGGTCGCCCCCAGGTTTTGCATCAGCGGCGGCTTGGTAGCGTATCTGGAATATCTCTTAACACGGATGCAAACTCCCGCGATTCGGCGTTCGCATTGAACAAAATCGGAGAGTTGGCCTCGCTAAACGAAAGCAGATTGTCGCAATATGATCCCGCAGAAAGTGGATGGGATATCCTGATTCGAGAAGTTGTGCGTTACTCTACCGACGGTCGAAAAGCCACATCTACGAGGCTGCTGGCAGCCGATATTCTAGCTAGGACGGTCAGGGAGATTGCTGAGCTTTCCATGTCCGATGAGCAGCGCGAAGAAATCCAAGCTCGCATACTTGCTGCATTGCAAAAACAGATTACTGACCTCCATCACTATGATGGTATCAGCAAAGACACGATCACTGATACGGACATACGCGTTCACCAGATAGCTCTTGACGCACTCAAAAACGTGATTGAGCAATGTGGAGAGTCGCTAGTTGCTGGCTGGACCTCTGTCATCGAAAGCTTGATGAGCGTCTTTACTCATCAAGCAGCACCAGAACAGGGTGTTACAAAAGATGTCGATACCTCAGACCTCAGCAAAAGCACTAATACCACTGTAGACGTTATCTCAAGGTCTCTTGCTCGATCCGCATTTGCAACAGCCAACCTAGTTTGTTCGGATTTCATGACCGCTGTTCCGGATGCTTGCCTCTCGACGCTCCTAGAACTCTTGCGCAGGTTCTGCTCCCAGAGAGAGGATCTGAACATGTCACTCACTGTGAGTCTCTGCTCCGAGCCCATGGTACACGCCTAACCTGCTACAGGCGATTACCTTCTTTTGGAACGTGTCCGATTACTTGCAGTCACGGACCGACCTCTCTTTACTGACGGAAGTTGTTTCTCAAGCCAGTGACAAGGAGCAAGTTAAACGAGATGTACACACGTGCCCACAGGAAGGAAATACTGCAGCTTTATGGCTTCAAGTTTTGCTAAATCTCTCATCCATCACAACAGATGAACGTATGGAGGTGCGACATTCTTCAATACAAACGATACAAAGGATCTTTGAAAACTGTTCGGACCAACTTTCTTCGGAAGTGTGGTTACTATGCCTTCGCACTATATTGTTCGGTATGGTAGAGGCCAATCTGGACATCCAAAACGACAATAGACAGCAACGACCACGCAAAGACGATCTGAAAGAATGGGATGAGACTACGAAAGCCGTTCTCCAAACCGTTACCGTCCTCAACACGCTTTACATGGAAAAGCTGGACAGGTCCCAGCTCGGTGACGCATGGTCAGAGCTACTCGAACTCCTGAAACGCTACTTCGACTACCGCTCGCATGCCTTAGGAGCTTCGGTATTCCGTACAATGACAGGTATCCTATCTCAGGCCGAAAATGCCAATGTGTTGGGCATGGATCCTCTTCTCAAAACTGCGGCAGTGTGGAGAAGCTACTTTCCCACTCCAGATGCTTGGCAAGACACGCACGAAGAGGATAACCAAGACGCATTTGTAGCATATGCAGAGGCTTTCAAAGCAATCTATCGGCTCGCAGATGGACTCCTTATCAAAGATTTGCCTTCTATGCTCACGAGTCTCGAAGCCTGCGTTGTCAACTCAGACGAAGTCGCTTACTCGTCAGATCTGGATACTATGACGACGCTTCAAAGTCAGATCATGGAATGCTTGGCGACGGTCAAGACAGAAGGTACTGACATTCCGTCGTATCTAATACGTTTGTTGGGCCGGTTTGTTGCGCTACCGTATACCTCTTTGGCTGAGTCCCCGGAGAAGCGCGGGCCGACCTTTGTAGCGCTTTCAAAAGCATCAATGACGCTTCTGCAAGATATCGCCATCAGACATGTTGGGGTAAAAGAGATGTATACAAGCAACGCACTGTCATTTGCTCTTACCTGCTTAGCACGGCCGATAGAGGAAAAGTATGTGTGGCAGCGAGAAGGCAGGGCACCGACTCTGTGGCAAAAGGCCACTACGACATCTACAGCAATACTTGAATCAGTGTTGCCACATATTGAGTCTAGTAAAGATATTTGGACCACACTGGTCGACATCGCGTACTGCATTACGCGAGCGCAATCATTGCCTAGTGCTCAGGCTTCACTTGGGAAAGATGAGCAGTTTGACATACAATCTTTCACTCATTTTCGCAATCTCATCACGCTACCGCTCGGCTCGGCTTCGCTGCCAGATAGTCTTCGACGTACATACGCTCGCAATCTCTTTTCCACATCTTTGACCCATAGCCCTCTACCTGGAGAACTGCCTGAGACCGCCACTTCGCCACTCGAAGAGCTCTACAAAATACGCCTTGGACAGACTGCGGAGCTGGATTACACATGGCGACCAGACATGAGCTATGCCTGTCTCTCCGAGCTCTTTCGCCTTGTCTCCCTGCACGATAGCAGTCCGGAATGCATCAAGCTAGCTCAAGCAGCGGCTCCATATCTCATTCTAAGGTGCGCACTTCCGCTCAAGACGTATATCGCAGACCAGCCACTTCGCGGCCGCATGCCTGCACCAGAATCGCAAAGGCGTGAGCTGATTTTTGTACTGGAACAACTGGAGAAATTAAAGAGCGAGCCACATGCGATACTTGATGCCCCGGGAGTCAAATCCAAGCACCGAAAGCATCTGCACAGGCTGTACCCATTGCTTCTCAGAGCGACGAGGGTAGCTAGGCAGGATGGTGAGGTATTTGAGCACTTGGCAAAGCTGACTGATTTGATCGGTGATGAATTTGGGTTAGATGATGACTGAAAGTCCTTTTGTACTACTAAATGGACATGTCCAAGTTTGTGGACTATACTCGCGAAGGTGATGCCATAACTTTGCCCACGTGATGCCTCAATCACTACCGAGGCTGATGAGTTGAAGGCGGTTCGTGTCTCTTTGACTGTACCTTGATAGCTTGCTACCCCAGCACGTTCGATTCTTTCTGCATTACTGTAATAACAAAACGAATGAAAGGGCTCCAAAGCACAAGTCAGGAGAAGACGAGCGCCCTCGTACTTCGTACTCGAGCTAAGCGGATCTTTCGGGCATCCCCGCAAAGCACAGACACCGGAGACATCAGACAGCTCCACACATCGACTTCTGTCGCGGAACACTCGCGCGCAGGCGGAATTAACCATGAGCGCGACATCGCCAGCGGACAGGAATACTGCGAGCGATACGATGAGTCCAGCGAACGACTCCAGCAGTAACTCGAAGCGGAAAAACGAGAATGGCGCGCCCACACAGCGCGCGAAGCGTGAGTGGACTTGATACACGACCTGGCATGCGACCAGAGACTGATTTGGCATGCTTGGTTCAGGCAACAGATACATAAGCATCGCGTGCAACGAATGCAAAAGACGAAAGATCAAGTGCAATGGCGAGACACCATGCCAACGTTGCGGGAACCTCAACCTGGAGTGCGCCTACGCGCCCAACTGCTGCAACTCGTTCAAAGACAGCGACGAGTTCAAGCAAATGTCAACACACATAACTTCTCTCCAGCAGCAGGTTGATGACCTGTTCCAGAACCTCAATGCGCTCCGGGCTCAGGTCGACGTGCAGAGCAATGGCTCAATCGGCACCCCATTCAACCCTGACTACCAGCAGACGCCCATGTTACCTCCCCAATCCGCCCGTTCGCGATCCAAATCCTTCAGCAAACACCCTCGTTTCCACGGCCCGACGTCGAATGCATTCAATGTTGGGGTGGCTAGGTCAAGCTTGAAGACCATGGGCATAAACGCGGGCGAGGAAGGTGAAGACGATGGCATCTTGACCCGCGACGCAACTCCAAGAGCGTCCCCTCCAATACTCCACCCCATGGTGCCAAAACGTCCCTTGCATACGGATAAGGACCCGATATGGTCCATCTCCAAGCACGAGGCTATGCGCTTGGTACATGTTTGGCACGAAGAGATGGGCACCATGTACCCTATTCTGGAAGTGGACAAATTGTTACGCTATGCCGAGATGTTGTTCACCTTTGTAGAAGCAGCGGCTAGATCGGGTCTGATACAAGGCTCGTATCCTGGGTCAGATGCAATGGTCGATGAACAGATTAGCGTATTAAAGCTCGTTCTCGCAATAACACTGGTCCTCGAAGGCGGAGGAAAGGACCCCTTGGGCGAGAGACTCTTCGAGAATGTACACAAGATCGTGGACAAGGCCTTGACCGATCCTGTCAGCCTCCATGGAATCAGCCTGTTGGTGCTGACAGTGAGTAGTGGATTCTCTTGTGACTGGACTTCGCTCACAAACGTAGGCCATGTATCACTTCACTCGTGATGATGAAGCCATGGCCTGGCGCGTCATTGGCCTAGCTGCGCGACACTGTCTAGAGTTGGGCTTACATCGTCGCGATACGTACTTGGCTCTCTTCCCCGATCCCGAAGAGCAAGCAGCAGCAATTAGGACTTTCTGGACAATCTACGTGCTCGATCGTCGGTGGAGCTTCGGCACGGGGATGCCTTTTGCTCTGCAAGACGCAGATATTGATACTAATGTGCCGAAGCCAGACATATCTACACACGAGTCTACGCCGTATCTCAACGCCATGATATCATACTCGGTCATCGGCTCGAAGGTATGGAAGTCTGTCGCCGATGTAGGACACCAGGACAAGATTAACAAGGATGACATATCTTTCCTTGACTTTCAGGTTTTGAACTGGCACCGTACTATACCGGATTCATTGAAGTTCGTTCATCCGGACAGCGGTAGACAGGTCGAACCTCCTGCACGAGTCGTCCACCGTTTACAGGTCGTGCTCTACCTTCGAGCCAACCAGATGCGAATACTCATCTACCGCCCAGTACTACATACCGCAACTACCATCATGGAGAATCTTGAATTTGCACACGTTGTAGTCAAGGTCGCCAAGGATACGATTCGCATACTGACATATATCAACCAAACATCGGACATCTACAGAAGCCAACAGACTATGTTCAACTACTTCCTTATTTCGGCTCTGGCAGTATTGTTCCTAGCTGTTGCCCATGCGCCAGCTGAATTCAGTCAGCAGTCCCGAGACGAGTTCTACATGGCTCTCGAGCTCGTCCGTGGCCTATCGTCAAACTCATACGTATCGAAACGTCTCTGGAGAACTATCAAGACGATCAAGGAAGTCGGGCCCCGTCTAGGACTCGTCATACGTAACGACGACACCCATGACGCACATTCATCGGCTGCTGTTGCAATGGCAGGTCTTGCAGGTCACTCGATGGACGATCTAGCCCTCTTCTCAAACGGCCGCAACGGGTCTAATCTTGATACACCGCATGGAATGGCTAGTGATTTGACGACCTTGTTCGAAGCTGCCGGAGGTATCTTCAACCTCAACGGCTTTGGAGGGACAGCGAATGAACTTCCCAGCTCAAATGGGGAGTTTGTGAATGGGTTCTCGCATGAGAATGACGAGCTGGCAAGGATTTTGAGAGATTTGTTTTGATGTGTAGCTGTTGAGCCAACATCTTTCTTCTGATATATGTTAGACATTTATATTGTTATTGTAATACTTGATCTCATTCCGAATCCACGTGGCATTGGTAACAGAAACTATCGTGCTTCACCTCTATACCTAGCAAGTTCGCAAGGCCTGGCCTGATCACGTGCCAATCGCTAAGCTCGGCCAGGGCAACCTGCGATCTTCATCTGCCAAAACACGACTTCCAACATAGCTCTGCGACGCTTCAAGCCTAGCCGTACTGATAGCCAGGTAGAACCGGCGCAAGACACTCCACCGCCCTCTCACCAGACTCTGCGCTCGCTCGACCCCTCCCCCACCGGCCTCACCTGGATCACGACTTTCGCCGAGCCCTTCCCTGCCCGCTACCCCAACGCCAACACACATGCGATAACAAGGCTGCAAGTGCAGCTTCACAAAAGAAATATACCCTAACCCACAGCCATCTTGTACGATCTGGCGCCTTTGGCTTCCGTCACGCCTACACACGTTTACCCCCACATTCGCATTTTCGAACCCCTCGTCTCTGGCATCACGCACGCATTGCGGCTGCGCGTCATAACCTGAGCCGCGTCTAGAAAGCGGTCTCGACGTCTCTACACCCAAGACAGCATGTCGTCATCTTCGCAGGTCACCGAGTCGTGGATCGCGTCCTTTTGCGGTCTTTTGGGCCACGAATACTTCGCTGAGGTGTCGGAAGACTTCATCGAAGATGATTTCAACCTGACGGGCCTGCAATCGCAGGTACCCATGTACAAGGAAGCTTTGGAGATGATACTCGACGTGGAGCCCGAGGACGACGAGGACGACGAGGAGGAAGAGGAGGAGGAAGATGAGGAAGATGAGATACTGGGCGACGAGAGGGCACCGGGCTATCGAAGGGCAGGCGACCGCAGACATCTCCGCATAGCATCCGACCTCAGCGTGATAGAGAGCTCTGCTGAACTCCTCTACGGACTCATACATCAACGCTACATCACCTCTAGACCAGGTATACAGCAGATGGCTGAAAAGTACGAGCTTCAGCATTTTGGCACCTGCCCGCGCGTGAACTGCAACTCCTGCAAAGTTCTCCCCGTTGGCCTCAATGATAGCCCTGGCCACGAGACCGTCAAGCTGTTCTGCCCTTCCTGTCTAGACGTATATACCCCGCCTAACTCGCGCTTCCAAACCGTCGACGGTGCTTTCTTCGGCACAACCTTTCCTTCGCTCTTTTTCATGACCTTTACGGACCTCGACATCGGTGGTGGGCTGCGCAACAACACGTCAAACACTATCGATGCACTACAGCAATTACAATCGCAAAGCGCAGACGGCAAGTCGCGGAATACTACACCCTCAAATGTCACTTCCATAAACGGCGTCGCACCGCACAACCTTGCGCCTGGTCTCGGCACAGGCAGCATCTACGAACCACGCATCTACGGCTTCCGAGTCAGCGAGCGCGCACGATCAGGACCTCGGATGAAGTGGTTACGGATGCGGCCCACGGACGTTACTGAGCTCGACGAGACGAGAAGATATTGGGAAGAGCATGATGAGGATGCAGACCGGCCAGACGACGACGACCTCAACATGGTCGATGTAGCGGAAGGCGGAAAGGGTGCGCCAGTGGACCGAAGAAAGAAAGCTATCCGGGCACGCAGACGGCCGACGAACGGATCCAACGCTGGTGGAGGCAGCCCAATGGACACCAACGGTGTTGGAGCAGCTGCGGGCTAGAGGTCTCCACAAACACCTGAGAATGTCGATCCCGATGCTACCGAATATGGGACAGATTTATCAACCAGCCAAATAGCACTGTACCTGAAAGGCAGGGCGAAAAAGGTGCAACGCCAAAGGGAGGCCATGTTCGAATGAGCTGGCTTAGTCAAGGACATTCTTGTCACTTTTCTTTCTTCACACCGTCACACTTTCACACAAGGGAGCGGAGCATAGTGAGTTGGGACTATTAGGTCGAGATTTTTTTTTTACTTATTGTTCAAAGAAAGACGTATAAGAGGTGGAAAGTCTTAGCTGATTCTTGATGGAGGTTCCTCCGAGCATGACTCAATGAGAATCCAAGAATTTTACCTGTTCGTTTCTACTTTCAAAGCCATGGCGTTTGGAGTATCGCATTGATGTGACGCTTACAAGAACATTCCTAATGATGGAGTGTTCCACAGATATTTGCTATGCACTATGAGCATCCCTGAGACGTACGTTGGATGTTTGCTGGGTTCGATCGACGCCAGACACCGTCACAGGATGGATCTTCATAGTCAAAGGTGATAGAGTGATATGGACCACGCATGATGATAACATAATGAGGATTATTTCTACATATTCATAGAGCCGTGGTAAAGAGGTCAACAGATAATAAGTTTGCTCTACTCTTTCCAGGTCTGATCCCATCATTTACATCGTCGATAACCACTTACATACACACGTACAGAGCGTCAAGCTTCCCTAGACTTTATTGAAACAAATTGGTATAAAGCGATATATGGTGCGAGAAAAAAAAACTGAAATACAAGCTACGAGCTTCTTACGCACGATGTGCCCATTCAGCGAGCTGGTTGGCCGAATCAATAGAGTCTTGGTTCTTCTCGTGGTGGCTCGTCATGGCCATGCCAGCACCGTGACCTTCGAGCGAATGCGTTGACATGCCCTCGTCGATTATGTCGTCATCAGGGATCTTTACCTCACGGGTGAGCTCGACGTAGTCGTACGCGAACTCGCCAATCTCGACGTCATCAATACCAGCAGCTTCTTCCTCTTCCGTCGCACGGAGCCTGAAGGCGGGGATGAATTTGCCAATAAAGTCAAGAGCTCCGAGGATAAGACAGGTCCCGAGGAAGGAGTATGCGCCGCCGGTGAAAGAATCGGCAAGTTGATAGCCAAGTTGCACCCAATGATGGTTGAGCCAACCACCGTCGATAACAGTGTAACCATCGAGATGCGCAATGTAGTCACTGCATAATGGTTAGTAACGCGAATTTTCAAAAATGAAAATTATCGTGTATGACTTACGTAGCGAAAAACGCAGTGAGTATGTTTCCGATGAAGCCACCAACGCCATGGACAGCAAAGATATCGAGGGCATCATCGCAGCGGAGGAAATACTTGAGCTTCGTCGCGTAGTTGCAAGCAACACCACCGCACATACCGAAAACAACAGCAGCCCAGGCAGGGACATATCCAGAACCAGGGGTGATGCAGACAAGACCAGCGATAACACCGGAGCAGAAGCCAACGGTTGACCACTTGCGTTCCAAACGATAGTCAACTAGGCACCAGGTGATACCACCAACACAGGCAGCAAGATTGGTGCATACAGCAGCCATGATAGCGCGTAGGTTAGCAGACAGAGCCGAACCAGCGTTGAAGCCGAACCACCCCACCCAGAGGAATACAGTGCCGATAACAATGTGCGTGACGTTGTGGGGACGGTAGTTGAGTTCCTGGGTACCGTGACCACTTCGCTTTCCAAGCATGTAAGAGTAGGCGAGGGCAGCACATCCGGATGCAATGTGAACCGGAGTTCCGCCAGCAAAGTCCAAGCCACCCATTTGGAAGACCCATCCAGATGAGTTCCAGGTCCAGCATGCAATGGGGTCGTAGATGATAGTCGTCCAGACAAACATGTAGATGATGCAAGGTAGCATGCGTCCTCGCTCGGCAACAGCTCCAACGGCAAGTGCAACGCTGTTTACAATTAGCATCGGTTTTGAGGACCAAAAGTGTGATAAACATACGTGATAGCAGCAAACATGCCCTGGTAGACACAGAACATGAGATCAGGAATACGCGGGCTTCCCACCGAAGGAGCACCCAGCACATTCATCAGGCCAAAGTTATCCAGCGCACCAATATACTTTCCAGCCTTGTGCGAAAAGGCTAGAGAGTAACCCCAGAAGAACCACTGGAAAGAGACGACTGCAGTCGCCATGACAGACAGCCATAGTAGCGATAGTGCCGACTTTCTGCGTGCCAGCCCGGAATAGAAGAAGCTGCAATTCCGTTAGACCTGTGTACATGGTTGCAAGGTTGCAAAGTTTCAAAGTGGAGTTGGGTTACTGACCCTACACCCGGTATCATAAGAAGCACGAGGGCGGTTGATGTGATCATCCAAGCGATATCGCCGGGCTAGAGAAACATGGCATTAGCCCCGCGTTACCACTAAAACCTTACGGTTCCGTCTCTGGTAGCCAAACTCACATTGTAAAACACATTGAGATTGTATAACCTCGAATCGCCTCCCGTGGGATCTGTGGTATTACCAAACGTCTCCAGAGGGAGTGTGGGGTCCAAGCCCGAAGATACGGGATCCATCCTGTCGTTTCCCGGGTCGTCGCTCTTTCGATTAAATGTTTGTTGGACTCGAATGTGTCATGTATCGGCAATGCGCGGTTCCTGGCTACAAATCCGAAAAGATGCGAGGTAATTATGTAGACTTTAGAGAGTCGTAGAGAGAGAAGGGATTGCGTGCAGGCGGATGGGAAAGTGAAGATTGGTCGATCGCTACACGTTCAGGGATCTCCAAGTCTGCAGTTGACCCTTGGCGTCCGCCCCAATACTGAACAAGCAAAAAAATAAATAAAAAAGGTCGCCGCTGGGAACGCTCAAATAAAGAGCATGTGCAAACGCGTTGCTAAGTATAAGGATAGGCGAGTCGCTTGATTGACAAGCTCACGAACCAACACCTAAACCGAGGGGTCTGTGGTAGCTATATGCAGGCTGAGCGTAGGGAAGAGCATCAAAGCTTCATCGCTTCCGCTACAGGATAGGCGATGCCGCTTTGATAATCTCCCAGTAAACAGGCATGAACATCGCCCTCTCCCGAATGCACGAACGCCACGGCAGTGGGGTGTTTGATAACTGGTGACGGGATGAGAGGCAATGACCCCAGGCCATGTCAGCCAATGTCCGACTACGAGTCCGTCGCTAAGCAAAATGCCAAACTGCAGGGTACCGCCCACACTTGGGGCGCGGCGCTGAGCCTGTTGCGGCTGTCGAACCATACGTGTGGGATGACAGTACGATGGGTTGCCGCGAGGCCTGGCTGCGATCACTTTTTTTTGGTTCCACCATGTAGTGGAGCAGTCTTGATCGTCTTTGGCTGTTCTGTGACTCTGTATCTCTTTTTGATCGACGTGATCACTCGTTCGCTTCGCCTTGTGATGGCAACTAGCCTCCATGGGAGCCCTGAAGTCGCATCAGGCAATGCATCGATCGAGCCCCCCTCAGCACAGCTCAATCGCTATCAGCGAAATGATTCGAAAACATTGTTCACAGCTTGGGAGAAGAGTAGGAGCAAGGGTAATGATAACGTGAGAGCGGCTGATAGGCTACGCCGGATACTTGGAGTTTGAGAACAAGTCCAGGCCATCCCTGGCTTAACATCTTCGGGTGCTGGGCGAGCCCGTATTTGGCAAGGTGCGTGCTTAGCGTAGATATGGCCATTAGAGATACCATACAGCCTGTCGTTCCCAAGTACTGTATAGGGAATCTTGGGGTCCTGAGCTCGTGTCTTGTGGTGTGATCACTCTGTTAGAGTTTGCAAGTGCTATACTTGAAAGTCGATCAAAACTTGGCCCCCCGGATGCTGTCGGAAATGGCCTCGAAATCCCTTATCTCTGTCGCCGTTTTCCTATCCCACGCCGAGCCGTGACGGCCACTCTGCCCACATCCCGCGACTCCTCCGCAGCCGCCTCCAACAACCTTCAGATGCACCATGCAGGTCCAACGGGGATCCTCACCCCTGGCGTCATCTCACCATGTTTCTGTTCGCGTCTAGAATAGCATCACACCATAGCGCTGGATACACTGTTCGCCTCGTCTACCGCAATCGTCTGTCTTGCATTGATCTATGTTGCTTTTGTTTGCGCCAGTTGCCGCTATCCCTGAGACTCACCGATCGATGCCGCAGCTAGGTACATGTGAGAACGATGCTCAGCCTGAAGATTTGGACCCTGCCACTGCCCTATCTATGTATTTGACATGAGTATTTCTACGTGACAATTGGCATGGGCGCGATCTGGCTAGAAGTACCGACATTACGGCTATTGGTACGTGAGTGACAAGGGGGATAGGCTGAGACTGTTGAGATATGGATACAAGGCTGTCAAATGGGGCTTCACGAGTTGTGATTCGAGGAACTTCTGTAAGCACTGTATCGGAGATGTTTCCATCCCTTGGTCTTGTATTGTTCTCCTGTCTGATTTCACCGACTCTCTCCGTTGCCAAAAGTTCTATCCATATTGTCGGCTCGGCCGACGCTCTGGAAGCTCAGTAATCACTAGAACGCTCCTGTTGCACGCATTGTTGTTGACACGTCCGTGTCGATGGCAGCAGAAGCGATGCGGCCCGCAGCAGTCGGACACAGCGCCGATAGATCGTTCCTGTATGTGACCACAAGTGCGCGTGCTACTGTATGGCTACTTGCGTAGACTTGGAGAAGAAATTGTGCTGCCAGGGTTTCCGATTCGAAGGGGAAGGCGGTCGTACAGCCGTTTTAGTGGCTTATTACGCCTTGCCGTCGTAGTCTCCACATTCTCCATAACGTGGGCAAATTTGCGTCGTTCGGTCGAACCAGCCTGCGCCGCGAGCCGAGGGACTGTAGTAGATATGCACACATGTCCGAGAAAGGTGAACCGCGGTATATCATGAGATCTGGTGAAGGAGCTTCCAGATCCGCGGGTGGTATCTCAGGCATGAAGAGGTGTGCCAGATCCTACCGGAGTATTTGCCCCTGGTGTTGCAGGGTCAGTACCGGCTTTCTTCTTCTTCTTCTTTTTCCGTGGTATCAGCGCCGGCGGGTTCATGACAGCACTGCGTAGAGATAGGTAGGAGCCGCAAGTCATGCAGAGGTTATCAGGAAGATCTGGGTTACAGAAGACTGTTTGCAGTTAGCATTCGGTTGATTGGGGGGAATAGGTGTGGTTCAGCTTACTGCTCAAGCACACACTGCAGACAAAGCCGATGTCGACGACCTTCCTGTGGCAGAAACATGCTGCACGGAAATCGACACCACCAGCGCTAGGGACTATCAAGCTTGTTCGTGCTGTTACATCGGGTAGGAATGCCATCATCAGATACTGTAGCAGACCTTCTGGACGGTCCGGTTTCATGTATACGCCTCCAGTCGCATCGCTCGCTTGCTGCAATAGCACAGTGTCGCCAGCCAGTTTCAGTATATCTATGGGTATCCGCTTTCTTTGTGCGGCGAATATAGAGTTCATGACGGGTATGTACTGATTGGCAAGGTCGCCGGATACAGAGACGATGAGGATGCGAGAGGTGAGGGGAACGCGGTCGACGTGTGTGTTTTCAGAGTCGGCGAGTGCTGCAAGAGCGGTACTGTCGGCAGATGCGGCTGTGGGAGCATGGAGGATGGTTTGCTTGTTGATGTGAGTGAGAGCCATGGAGAGAGCACCGCCTATGAGTGTTGTAGGTGTCGCTTCCAAGTGGCTCTCTTTTGTCTCGTTGAGCAACTTGGCGAAGTTACGTAGGATTGCGCTCTCTACGACAGCGAATGGCCGGTACTTGTTGGCACTCTCTGCCATATGGTGTTCCTTGTCCTTTGCATGGCCGTTCGTCTGAACATGGCCGTTTGTGTCGCCGCGCCGCGACTGTGGCTGCGGGTCGGTGGGTGTGGGATACAGAAAGGTCGTCTTGTGCGAATGGGAAGCTATCACAGCAACTTCGTTTCCGTTTCCCGAGGCTAGGTGGGCGTTGATGAAGACGAGGATGTTGGCTAGGGCGGCAGAGAGTGAGAGGGTAGAGGATAGATGCGCCCAAGCATGTGGGTTGGTATCGAGGACGATGGCAAGCAGTGACGGCGGCGGGGCTGCGAAAGTTAGTTGTCATTGTGCCAGTTGAGTAGTCGTGGTCCCATGCCTTCTTCTGTCTTGATGTGACGGTCGGAACCGTCAATGGTATTCATTGTGCTGACATGTGCTTCTCTCTACAGCACTGAGAAGACGACTCGCTGTTCAAATGCTGTGCATGCCTCGGAATGGCGAGTGCGTCCTTCTTTCGAGCTTGGACTTGTTGCCTGTTCAGTCAATGAGGTCAACTTCGCGACCGCCTAATACAATGCGCCCGTGCGCCAGCCGCGTTCCCACGTGAGCGCGCTGCACTGGGCATCCAACCTATTCTCGGTCTCTTCGGACAATGTGTCTGTCTCTGTCTGGAAAGTGATCAACGAGTATATGTTGTGAAGATAGGTCTCTCTGCCGGTCTAATGTCAGCCAGCCGCGCGCGCAGTGACAGACTTGTGGCTCACAAGACCCATATATTTCTCAGCCTGACTGTGTATAAACAACACGACTTCCCACTCATCTCTGGCGCGAGTTGCCATGTTGCGTACCTCAGAATATGCATATAAAAATCAAGCACCTTCACCTTCTTTGACACAAATACATTACTACTCAGGTGGCCAAGGGTCAATGCAAGTCCATGCTGACAACCTTGGAATTTGCCGACGCAACCTTACAGAAAGAGACGGAACTGGGGTTTACCGTAGGTCCGAACTAAATCGCGGGGACGTCGAATTGCCTGATTCAGGATTTGCTGCGAGCTTGCCGTTGTGTCAGTCATTAGGTGACCTCACCTGAGCTATTATGGCAAACTACCGAGGCTCAGGAGACTGGCTCCGCCCATGCCATGCACCACGAAGGACTGAGCCCACTCTTAGTAGTCGACATGTCACATTACCGAAGGCTTGCTGTTACGCCAGCTCGCAACCTTAAACATATCCGTCTCTCTCCAGCGACTCGGTCACCGCTTAAGGCGCCCGGCTAAAATCTAGTTCCAGCGAATCTCTTGTCGACTCTACATCAGCCATTCGTGCATCGTCTCATACTCCAAGGACGGACGCTCCCCTGTCCGATTCACCAGCTCCCCAGTTGCAACATTGCCAATATGATTACAGAAACGATACGACGAGTGAACGGTTATGAGAAGGATGCATACACATACTATCCCGTCATTATTGTCGGGGCTGGCGCATCTGGCATTGCCATGGCCTGTCAGCTGAAGCAGCAACTTGGCTTCGATCAGTTTCGCGTATTCGATCGTCAAGCAGGCATTGGAGGAACTTGGTGGATAAATCGCTATCCAGGTGTTGCATGGTATGAAAGTCCCTGAAATATGCCCGTTCAATGCGCATGGTAATACCAAACCTTTGAAATTCAGCCGCCACAACAATCTTCCACGGGCCAGGGCTAATGCTATATAGTGATGTACCCGCCGTCTTCTACTCTTTTAGCTTCGCTCAAAACCCAAACTGGACCTCGTTCCACCCTCCCGGCAAAGAAATCGTACGCTAT